AAGGAGGGGGTGTTTGTTCTTTACACATTGCAGATCAACTGAAGCCCCTCAAACCTGATATTTTATAAAGTGGCACAGTAATAACAGCTAACACCTGGTGGGCACCTGCTGAGGGCCCCTCACTGTTCGGGTACTTTGTCTATATTAGTTATCAGAGCAGTCCTGACGGGGAGGGACCGTTTGTCTTTTTTATATATTTATTTAAGTTCTGGGAATTTAACCGATGGGGTGCTTTACCCCTGAGCTACATCCCCAGTCCTTTCTATTTTTCATTTTGAGATAATCTCGCTAAGTGGCTTGGGGCTTCGTTAAGTTGCTCAGATTGGCCTTGAATTTGCAATCTTCCTGCCTCGGCCTTCTGAGTCCCTGAGATTATAGGCGCGTACCCCGTGCCCGTTTATTTATTTATTTATTTGGCAGTACTAGGGACACTTACCACTGAGCTATATTCCCAGCCCCTTTTATTTATTTTTAACAGGGTCTTGCTATCCTAGAGGGAGGAACTATCTTAATCTTCCCTCATTTTACAGATGGGACCACTGAGCTCAGAGAGACCACTGAGTCACTTGCCCAAGGTCACACAGCTTGGAACTGTAGATTAAGGCTCTAAACTGAGGTTTGGAAAGACCTTTTACTCACTGTGCCTGCTGAATGTAAGCATTTAGCTCATAGGCAACATGCATGTGCCCTGGGTGCCATGTGACAGTTTAACAGGCCAGCCAATGACGGGCACCAGGAGCAGGAACTGATGGGCACTTGGCCACAGGACGGCATCTCTACAGAGCTGAGCTTCGGAGTACAGTGTGCAGACAGTTGAGGGTGTGGCCATCAGCCCTTGGCCTCAGAGTTCCTCTCATGGGGCTGCTGTTTGTTGCCTCCGACATGTTCCAGGATTCCTTGAAGATCCCCTGCCTTTGGCAAACCAACCGCAAGAGCCATGGGAGTGACTAACGCTGTCCAGACAAATGGGCCGTGCCCAGGTGGCACCAGGCCATGAGGCCTTTGTTGTCAGAAACGTGAGCATTTATACGTCTCGTTCTCATCCACCCTGGGCCTTCCATCTCCACAGGGCAGGGCTTCCAGCCCTCACTGGTTTCTGGCACTTTCCCCCCATCTAGTGGGGACATGGGGGACCAGGGCATTCTGCAGGGAGCTATGGTTCCACTGCTCATTCTCGGTCTCAGCCAAACCCTTCTGTTGAGCACCAGGCCCAGAGTCAGCCCAGATTCCTCCTCCGCAGCTGCAGGCACACCAAGGCGGAAACTCCCCACAAAGCCAAGGTTGTTCTCCTTTCCCTGCGCTCCTGGGGCCGGGTGTGGCATCTGCAACCGCAAATGAGGCAATTAGGGAGCACAGCGCTGGCCATCCGCCAGCCCAGCACCCCGGTCTTCCTGGGGCACCGACTCCCTGAGGTCCCCACCTGGAGAAGCAGCCCGCCCTCCGCAAAATGCATGGACCAGAGTCCGGGCCCCAGGCCGGCCTGGCCACCTTCTAGCTGTGTGCCTTGGGCTTTGGAGGCTGCTTAGTGAAGTCAGTAACAACAGGATTGGGAGACAAGCGCGAGATCCTGGTCCTTGCTCTCCAGCCTGGTGACAGGAGGGGACAAGTGCTGACTCCTCCCTGATCCTCAGTCTTTAAGTGAAGCAGAGGAGGGATACTTTTTTTGTTTTATGGCACACAGTAGGTGTTCATGGCACATAGTAGGTGCTTGTGGCACACGGTGGAGGTCAGGTCTGTGCAGCCCCTCTCCCCTGCCCTTCCTAAATCCTGCTGAGGCCAAGCCTAAGGGGGTGTAAGGACTCCACACAGTGGCTGACTAGTACATCCGGGGGTGGGGCTGCCATTGTTGGAATGTCACTCACCAATGAGGCCCCATGGTGCTCCCCACCCAGTGGAGCCCGGCTAAGCCTTCCCCACCTCAAGGGGGGGGCCTGCAGCAGTATTTCAGGAAGGGGGCCCTCAACTTTTGTGTGCTGAAAGATAAACAGGCCTCCATCTCAGTGTTTTGCGGTGCACATAAGCTTCCTGTATGGCCGTGTCGGGGTAGACTTCAGGGTGCCTGGTCTTGGTCCCTGGAGCCAGCGGCCAGCCTCCCTGTCTTGCCTCCCACCTTTGCTCACACATCTGGAGGCTGCAGCCTCAGGCGAGGCCTAGAGGCAACAGACCCAGCTTCTGGACCTCCTGTCCAGAGTGGAAGACACCACTGTCCTGCAAGCTGTCCTGGGACACAGCAGGCAAGCAGGTGGGGGGGTAGTCAGGAGATCTTCCCAGAAAGGGAGGTCTCTGAAATGAGACAGAGGAGAGAGAGGAAGCCCTTGCTAAAGGACACTGGCAAGTTACGCCCAGCCTCAGTTTCATTTTCCACCAAAGGGGCCAAGCGGATCTGCTTCTGAGAACAGGTAGGTGAGAGGGGGTGACAATCCCTCACACCCAGGGGCTCCTGGGGAGATGTCCGGGATTTAGCTTCGTTTTCAAGGGCCTCTCCCTCGGACACTTGACACTTTACTGGCAGCCAAGTTAGGGAGGCTGCCTGGGCGGGGCTGGCCTGACTCGGCCGTCCACCTGCCCACCTAAGAAATAGGCCAAGGATGGAAAAAGGAATCTTAGGTAGTTTGATCAAACTGGGGAGGAAGAACTAGATTGCTCCTCTACGGGTCCCAAGGAAGTGGTGACAGTTTACAGAAACAAAAGCCAGGCGATAAATGTATGTAGATTTAGCAAGAGCACATGTCAGTGGTGCTGATGGGAAGGGGGGTAGTTTTTATTTTTGGCATGAGGAAGTTTAGGAGCTGTTTCAACTCCTGTCTCTTGGTGTAACCCAGTGTTCTGGTGTAGAAGAATCCCGGCTATAACCCAAATGAAGCACCTCTGAAGTCCCTTCTCTCTTTGAGGGGGACAATGGGATTTTTTCTACCAAGGGGGAGTGAGGCAGAAGTTTCAAGAATTTTAAGATTCTCCCCGCTCACCCAGGACCTGTGCCCCTGTTTTCTTTGGACTTAGACATTACAAAGACAGAAATCTTGAGGATATAAAGGCACCTTCCCCAACTCGCTCCACCATTCATTTTAACACTTGCCCCCCCCCCATTTGTTCTACCATTCATTTTAAGTAGGGTGCTGTTTGTTGAGTACCTACTATATGCCAGGGGCTGGAGATTCTCTGCTGACAGGCCAGACAAGGTCCCAGCCCTGATAGAGCTTGTGATTCTAGGAAGAGGCAAAGAGCTAGACAATGAAAACATAAAAACAACAAAGTATTAACAGACTACAGTAAATTCTCTAAAGGAAAGCAAACAGGCTTCTGTAATGAGAAGGTGCAGAGCCCCTGCGGGTGGCTGGGATATTGCAGGAGGTGGCATTTCAGCTGAGCCCTGAAGCAGGCGCTGGCTGAGAGGAGAAAGATGAAAGAAGAAAGTTCCAGAGGAGACAGCAGCAGCTACAAAGATCTTGGGGGAAGGGGCAACTTGGGGAATCTGAAGAACAGAGTGAATGCCAGAGAAGATGGGCCTGAGTGGGCGAGGAGCAGCCTGAGATAAGGGACAGGAGTGGCCAGGGCTCTGGGGCCCTGGTAAATGTCATTCCAGGGCTGGCCGAGGGCTTTTAAGCAAGGGGTGGCAAGATGAGAACTTTGGTTCTGAAGACAGCTCTGGCTGCTGGGGAGACCACCAGACAGCAGGTGTGGCAGCCAGGACACTCTGAGGAGCCACCATCTTGCTGATCCTGAGAACTTGGTCGGTCATCTCCCTGCTCTGATCCCGCGCATTCGAACCTGTGTGATTGTGAGAATCCACTGGGAATGAACAAAAATGCATTTTCCGAAACTGAAAAATATGGTTTAAAGTGGTGTGTCCTCTGGGATTCTGCTGGATTAGGCCTTTTTGGGATTCAGTGTGGCAGGGACAGTGCTGGGCCCCAGAGTCCCCACCTAAACACCGGACACTTAAGAGAGCCCACTCTTCCAGTGGGCTGAGGAAGGCGAGGGAAGGGTGCTTGGAGGGGATACCTGTGTGGAGCTCTCTACTCCTGTGGGAGGGGGGACCCAAGGGTCACTTTCGTGGTTGGTTTGTTTAACAACTTATGAGTTTTGACCTGGTCCAAATCCATGATGTCTTTGTTCTGTTTTTGTGTGCTGGGGAGGGAACTCGGGCCTCTGCACGCTTAGGAGAATGGTCCATTCCTGAGCTACATCTCCAGCACTCTCAAAGCTACAATTCTTCATGTACCCAGGAAGGGACACAACCTTTGAGGAAGAGTGTGGCAGGCACCGGATTACCTTTAGCCAATCAAATGCATATGGCTTTTTTCATTCTATGTCAAGAAATTTCCCTGGAATTCTCTGAAATTCATTCATCCAGCTTTAAAATTCCTGAGCTAGCCAGGTGTGACGGCGCAAGCCTGTAATCTCAGCCACTGGGGAGGCTGAGGCAGGAGGATCTCAAGTTAGAGCCAACCTCAGCAATTTAGCAGGGCCTAAGCAACTTAGTGAGACTCCGTCTCAAAATGAAATAAAAAGGGCTGCGGATGTGACTCAAAGGTAAAGTGCCCCTGGGTACCAGAAACAGAAAAAGAAGGGGGGTGGGGAACAACCCTTTTGAGATAGAGGAAAGAGGCAATCAGAGCTCAGACGGGAGACACCTGCCATTTTTATCTCCCCTCCCCTCCCCTCCTCGCCCAGCCCCCTGCATAGCCTTTCTAGCTTGATGGGGACACCCCCTGGACCCACCTAAGGGCTGAGAGTGGGGGGACCTCTTTCTTTACTGCCAGGCCTGATACCGACTGGCACTGGGGACCTCATTACTGAGGAGGGAACTCTTGAGAGGCCCTTCCTGCCTGCTAGGGTCTTGAGTCGGGGTCCTCCCCGCGGGGGAGGCCGGGGTCCCCATCTCCTCCGGGGCTCCGGGCCTGCGGGGTTCCGCTCGGAGACCAGCGAGGGAACCCGAGCCGCGCCGCTCAGGCCCCGCCCGCGAAGGTGGCGCGTCGCCGGCGGGCCCTCCCCCCATCCCGCGGCGGAGGCGGCGGGGACGGGCACCTCGGGGCGCAGCATGCGGAGCGTGTGGCCGCCGCGCCCGGTGGCCGCCGTGCTGTCGGCGCTGGGGGTGAGCGCGGGCGGGCGGGCGGGCGGCCGGCGGCTCGGGTGTCCCGGCCGGGGCGGGGCGCGGGCGCTTCCCCATTCTGGCGCGAGCCATGGAGGCGCTGAGGGAGTCCGTGCTGCATTTGGCCTTGCAGATGTCGACCTACAAGCGGGCCACGCTGGACGAGGAGGACCTGGTGGACTCGCTCTCCGAGGGCGACGCGTACCCCAACGGCCTGCAGGTAGGAGCCGGCCAGGCCCGGGCATGCGCGCTGGCGTGGCGCCGCCCCGCCCCGTCCCGTCCCGCAGGACCCCGGCCGCTCCCCGCGCGGAGGGTCCCCTGCTGGCCGCAGGGCCGCTGAGGCCGGCCGCTCCCCGCGCCTGGCCGGCCTGCCCCCGATCCCCCGGACACCTGCTCCCGGTCACGCCCAGGTGGCAGAGTCGAGCACCCCCTCGAGTCGAGTCGGCCCAGTTACCATGTCACAGAAGAGGCAGTCCCCGTGTTTGGTGGGACTTGTCCCGGGTCCCACAACCCACTGCTGGCGGGATCTAAAACTGCTCCAGCTTTAACATGAAAGTCCCTACATTCCACGCATGGCCCTGGGCAACCCACCCTATCTGGGGACATTACCCTTTCTTCCTGCCCCTTCCTGCCCCTCCCTGCCCCAGTACCTGAATTTCCTGGGGAAGGGAGGGGGAGGATATGGTCTTCTGTCCCCCTCTCCCTGCCCCTTTTCAACCTACTGGGGCAGCTGGATTCCTCCCTCCAGGGTCTGCCCTGTGGGAATCTGACACCCGGACTGGTCAGCTCCTGCCTGGCAGCAGAGCCGTGAGCCAGGCCACCTTTTGCTGTCCTTGCCCTGCACACCTGCCCCGGGGACAGTTCTTGCCAGGGGGTCAGCCCTGGTGGGGTTTGCACCTGGGCAGGTAGGGGTGGGAATGAATTGGAAATGAAGAGAACACCCAGGGTGGCCCTGTGATCTGAGAGAGGAGGAGTGTGACCCCCTCAGCCCAGGAGGACTTCTGGCAGTTAGACCAAGAGAGGTGTCTAGGAGAGTCTTGGGGCTGCTTGGGGAACTGAAATCCAGTCAGAACTCCTCCCAAGGGTGAACTTAGGAAGAGTGGGGACAGCGCAGCTCTGGACAGACACACCCCTGAGAAGCTGGAATTCAGACAGCAGTAAAGGGGAGTAGCATTGATTGAGTTCCTTCTCCAGTCAATTCTGTTTTGATTTTTTAGTGCTGGGGATTGAACCAGGGTCCTGGGTGCATGCTAGCCAAGTGCCGTACTCCTGAGCTATACCCCAAGTCCTCCAGACTAGTTAGGTAGGCCCAGGGATATCCAAACTCATATTCCAAGTGCTATACACACTAAGATTCAGTACTCCTACCTATGTGGTCCCACTTAACCTTCAGGACCACCACTAGGAGCTGCAGAGTGACTTCTCCCAACTCACAGATAGGGAAACTGAGGCCCTGAGAGGAGAATAACCCAACTTAGCTTGGTCACAGACCTAGAAGTCTGGGAGAGACAACCCAATCTGCCTAAATCTGCTTCCCTGTGAACCCTTCAGAGGCTAAATCCAGCCGGAAGTTATTTTTCTGTAGCAGGCATTTTTCCCTTCACAAATCAAAACAGAATCTAATCAGCAATCTTTTTTCCATCTCATCTTCCCCAGAAGGTTCTAAATATATCAGCACAAAAGTATCAGAATTCACAACAAAATCACATGCTGTGCCGTTATTCTGACAGCAGCCCACTTGGGTTTACAGCCTTTTTCAGATCAGCAGTACATTCATCCAGGTGCACCCCCTGGCAGAGTGCAGGGAGCCCACTCTGAAGCCAGGGACCCACTGGTGGGTGTGGGTGAGGTGCCGCGTCTCCATCAGTCCTCATTCCCTCATCTGTGAGATGGGATCAGAGAAAGTGCTTGGAATGCACACTCCAGCGTCTGCTAGGAGCACTGTTGTTTTTATGACCTATGAAGTAAGGGCCAGCATGGCCATGGTACAGATAGATGTCAAAACTGAGCCCTAGGGACAAGTTGGGGACATCCTGTGGCCATATCGCTGTCATGTGAATTGGAGGTCAGTTGGTATCCCCATGTCACACTGCCCAGCTGGGTATATTTTCCACTTGCCATGCAAGGAAAGGCAAAAGGGTTAGCCCAGGCTGGGACATTTCTGTGGGTACCTCACTTGGCTTGCTTGGTGCCCAGGGCAAAATTTTGTGAATTCTCCAGTGCCTGCGTTTCTGAGTTAAGACCTGTCTACCTCAACTTACAAGGCAGAGTTGGGTTTCTGCTGTTCTTTTTTTTTTTTTTTTTTTTTTTTTTTGCAGTATTAGGGATTGAACTCAGGGGCACTCGACCACTGAGCAACACCCCTGCCTTCCCCTTTATTTTTTTAAGACAGGGTCTTGTTAATTTGCTGAGGCTAGCCTTGAATTTTCTATCCTTCTGCCTCAGCCTCCCAAGTCATTGTGCACCAAATGCACAGCTCAAGGCACACTTTTTTATTATTATTAATTCAATTCAATGCTTTTAATCCTTTGAAGGTCTTTTTCCTATAAAATCTTTACATGCTCATTTGTGGTTAAAAGAGAGAGAGAGAGAGAAATATAAAAAAGGATTTAAAAAGAAACAGAGATCCCACTGCTCAGAGATAATGGGTTCTAGTTTTTTCTATGCATACATGTGTGTGTTTGGTGCTAGAGATTGAACCTAGGACTTTGTGCATGATGCTGGATATGTGCTCTTCCATTAGCTACTTCCTTGGTCCCTTTTGTATGTATGTGTGTGTGTGTGTGTGTGTGTGTGTGTGTGTTTAAAGATAATTGAGCTCACTCTTTATGTGTCCTGAATTTTGCATTCAGTGCCATTTCATAATCATTTTCCATGTTAAAATCTTCCAAAACATGCCACCACTAAAAATCTATAGAGGGCTGAGGTTTGTGGCTCAGTGGTGGAGCGATTGCCTAGCACATGTGAGGCCCTGGGTTTGATCCCCAGCACCACATAAAAATAAATAAGTAAAATAAAGATATTGTGTCCATCTACAACGAAAATATTTTTTAAAAAAATCTGTAGCTTTTGTGCATATTATTTATTCAATCTAGTATAGATGAACAATTAGGAAAATTGTCATCACACTACAGGTGACCATCTTTAGCCTTTCAGGTTATTCCATGGTCTGGATGCTTGAAACATAACTGCTCCCTCCATGTTAGCCTTTTAAAGATGGACTGTGAACCCCCAAATCTTCCTCTTTTAATTGGCAACTATAAAAATAAGCTATTTGACAGCCATGGTGGTGTACATCTATCATCCTAGCTGCTTAGGAAGCTGAGGCAGGAGGATGGCAAGATCAAGGCCAGCCTTAGCAACTTAACGAGACCCTGTCTCAAAATAAAAAATAAAAAGGGCTGCGGGTGTAGCTCCTGAGTTAAATCCTCAGTACCAAAAAAAAAGAAGAAGAAGAAGCAATTAGCTCTAATTCCAAAGTGATCAACACCAATAGCTAATAAATGAAAATATAAATTTTCATCTCTCAGCTACACTTGCCACTTTTATTACTGGATGTGTTAACAAAGTGCTGAATTTAGCTGGAGGAAAGTTCTACCTATACCTTATTTGAAAGCAGTTTTCCTTTATCTTATTATCTTATTTTAGGCGAATTACTTACAATCCACTCAAATGAGTTGTTTGAGGGCTAAGCCTATTTTTATTTATTTATTTATTTATTTATTTATTTTTTGGTCTTTTCTTTCTTGGTGCTAGGGATCAAAGCCAGGGATTTGTGCACACGAGGCAAGCGCTTTCCCGCTGAGCTACATCTCAGCCTCTAAGGCACCTCGTCCTAACCTGGAGCCCTCGCTCTGTCCCTCGTGGCCTTAGACCTGAAAGCAGCTCACTCACACAGCTTTATAAAATGGGTTAATAATGTTGCAACTCACCTCTGGGAGCTGCTGCAAATATTCAAATGAGGCCACAGAGGTGAAAGTGGTCTCAGTGCTCAGAGCACAGACCTGGCTGCTAGCAGAATTCTCCGAGAAAGTCACCGTCTCAGCCCTTATGTACCAGCTTTCCCTGCCTGGGCCTCGGCCTGCTAAAGTCGGAGCCTGGTCGCCCCACACTTGTACACTTCAGGGGCTTGAAGGGAAGTAGCCTTGGTTGCCCCTGCAGCCAACCTGGGAAGCCTCCAGCCACAACCTGTGACACTCATCCAGTGATTTCTCAAAATCTTTTAGTTTTATTTTTTAGGAATACTGAGATATTTAAGTTCATAGGGCAGTGATTTGGAGGGTGATTCTGGAGGCAGACCCATTCAGGACTTAAAAAAGCCTTCTCTGCTTAGCAGGGGGCCTTTCAACTCTCTACCAGTTACAAGATTAGACTCTTGGCCTGAAGGTTCTAGAATCTGAGACAGTCCCATGTGGGGCTTCATCCCAGCTTCCTCACTTAAGAGAGGGGACACTGATGAGGCCCAGAGGCTGCCCAGGTGCATGTGATGGAGGCTCGGCCGGCCTCTGACTTCTATCTTCCCTGTGCCACAGAGATCTGGGTATTCATTCTGGAAATCAAAGACAGCTGGGAAGTGCTTCTCTAAATATCGGACCTGCAAGGTGTCCCCTCCCCTATGATGGGAAAATTTTAAGCTATTACTCAAAGATCAGGCTTGGGGACCGGATGGTAGGGAGGGCTCAGGCAGATGGCGGGGGACAAGGCACCATAGGTTTGCTCTGGGCTGACCCCAGTGGCCTCAGCAGGAAGTCCACCTCATGGAAACTGTAATGAAAGAAACTTCCCCAAACTGACACCCTTGTGGAGGCAGGGCCCCCCGCTAGGTCACGGTCTGTCTGTTCTGAAAGGCTGACTCCAGGGCAGCCTGGTCCCCTGCCAGCCCTCGGAGCAGCTGGGCTTCTGGAGGCAGGGGGTGGGCTCCCCACCAGACCTTTGAAAATGGCTTCCTGTCTGCCGCTCCATGCGGCCTGGTCACTGGGGGACCTGGCTCTGGCTGGGAAGAACCTGGCTCCCCGACTCTGAGAGCCAGGCTCCCCGCCCCTGCTGCTACTGGCGAGGCTCCTGGGCCCCAGGCGGTCCCCGTCCTCACCTGCAGAACTCGTTCTTGCTGAAAGGCTAGGTGAGCCGTGCACTTGGTTCTGTAACCGAATCTTTATCCCCGATTAGGGCTTTGTTTTTTTGGCTGTGGAAACCCTGGGAACTCCTGGGCCCGGCAGCTCAGTTCTCCCCCCCCCCCCACCCCCAGGCTTTTCTGGATCCAGTGCTTCCTCCTTGGTCTCCTCCGCTGCTCTCTGCGGGGAGACGCTCCTTTCCCTACTGCTTTCGTTCTCTCTGTGCCTCACAGGATGATGCTAGGAAATAAGGCCGGCCAGCGGGGAGCGCCCACCCGGCTCGCAGCTCCATCTTCCAGCCTTTGGCTCTGGACTTTGGCCAAGGGCCACTTCCCAGTGATGTTCCCCAAGATGGATTGGGCTGCTTGCCACTAATCCTCTGCCCTCTAACTGGCCACAGCCCAGTCTCCCATGATTGACAGGCCCTTGTTTCTAAAAGGAAAGCGAGAAATCGCTCACCTCTCCCCTTGCTGTGATATCATCTCCTGGGATGGTCCCCAGGGTCCTATGCAGGGGGCAAGGCAGGTGCAGTGGGGGCTCAGAGAAAAGGGACTTGGCTGAGCAGGTGGCCGGAGGGAGCAGAGTGGTACCTGGCCTAGCCTCTGCCCTGTCCGTTGCACCTGGAATTGGCCAGTGCTGCCAGGTGACTTTCCCTGCCCCGGGGAGCTGCCTCTGGATCCGCTCTGCCCTTCGAGGTGAGGCCTGAGCAGAAACCAGGAGGCCTTGGCCCGGCAGCACAAGTCGAGCCAAAAACATGCCACGGGTTAAGAATCTCTTTTCAGATTCTGTTTGTGGTTCTTGCCTGGAACTATGAGTTTTTAATTCAATTCTGGCCTAATTCTAATTTAATTTCCAGCAGACACCATCTGTTTAGATTCAACACTTTGCTTGACATCGAACAAGGACTCCCAGCTTGACTCGGCTCCTCTGGCACGTGGCACGGTCGCCTTGGGACGGGGCGCCAGTCCTGGAGAGATGGGGCGCCTCATTGTCCTCTCTCCTTATTCTTCTCCTCCGCCCCCCTTCTGTGCTTCTTCTGGAGCTCACGCTAGTACCTACTCTTAGGGACAAAACCAGAATCATACCGTCTGTGACAAATCAGAAGGCTCAGGACGCCAGGCACGCAAGCATTTCCCAGCTGCCATCAGTGCCTCTTCCTCCCCGTGCTCCCCGCTCCTCCCTCTTCTGCCTTCTGGTTTGTCCCCCCCTCTTCCCCCTCCTCAGTACCTCTGCTCTGGCTGGCCTCCGTGTCCCCTCACCTTAGCATTTTTGAGTCTCCCAACATGGCGAGGGTGTCCTGTGTCTCCCCAAGCCTCGTGGTGTGCCCTCCAGCCTCCTAACGCTGGCTGCAGCAGAGGGGAGCCTCTGCACCCTGTGAGCTGAGCCACAACGGCTGGGGCAGGAGAGGCCACGAGGAGGAGGAGGAAGGCCGCGACAAGTCCAGGGGCAAAACCATGGCCAGGCAGAGGGCACAGTGACCGTGTCTCCAGGGGAGGCAGTGCCTGCCTCAAACCCATGGGCCCCCCTGATTATCAGTACCCAGGTAAATGGGATGAGGTCACCGATGCCTAAAAAAGCACCTTATGAACTTTTGAGTGCCGTGTGTGTGTGTGTGTGTGTGTGTGTGTGTGTGTGTGTGTCTGAGCACCGATGGCTTTCACCTTAATACAAGGCTTTTTTTTTTTTTGGGGGGGGGTACTGGGTATCAAAACCAGGCTTGCATTACCACTGAGCTACCTTCCAGTCTTTTTTTATTTTATTTTGAAACAGGGTCTTGCTAAGTTGCCCAGGCTGGCCTTGAACTTGCTGTCCTCCTGCCTCAACCTCCCACTTGCTGGGATTAAAGGTGTTGCCACCATGCCCAGCTTAATATAAAGTTTAACTAATCGAAGTAACATGGTCAGAAATCTTTGCGCGCCCCACCCCATTTTTTTTTCTGCAGTGCTGGGGATAGAACCGAGGGCCTTACACACGCTGGGCAAGTGCTCCACCACCGAGCCACATCCCCGGCCCTTTTTGTTTTTATTGTGAGACAGGATCTCACTAAATTGCTGAGACTGGCCTTGAACTTGCGATCCTCCTGCCTCAGCCTCCCCCATAGCTGGGATTAAAGGCTGCGCCACCGCACCCAGCCTGGGTCTCCCCGTTTTAAAAAAGCATTTTACGGGGTCCCAGCAGGCAGCGGCTCCCTCCCTCTGCTGACCCACCACCGGTGTCGGAGCCTCCCGGATGTCCGTGAAAGTGTCACCGATTCTCAAGTTCCTTTCTCAGTTTTAGGACACAATTTTTCTTCCACAGAAAGTTCTCGTGTTCCCCTTTCTCTGGTGCAGCAGTTCCCAGTCCTCTCCTGCCAGGAGAGTCCCCGAGGATGGCCACAGTGCCCCTCCCTCAGGGGCCCATGTCAGATCCCTAAGTGGTGGCGTGGGACATCCTCAGGGCCCTCTCCTGGCTCTAGAGAGCCCCTCCTTGTGCTGCTTGGAGTCTGGGTCTCCTTAAACCCCCCGGCAGGCTGCCTTGGCCTCCTTAATGTCTCCCTATCTCCCTTCCCCTCCTTGGCAGGCCTCACTCCTTTCTCCCAGCCCTTCCCAAAGGGCAAATCTAATGCTGTCTCTCCAGGCCCCAGGAGGCAGTCCGCCTTCTTTAGCTTATAGCGCCCTGTGGGATCCAGGCCTCGCACCCCTCACCAACTCCTACTTACTCTTCAAGACCCAGCCCAGACATCACCTCCTCCAGGAAGCCTCCCCAGACTGAAACCCTGCCCACCCCAAACTTTTCTTGGTCTGCCTGCCTGCTGCGCAAGAGCAGTGAAAAGCAAAACAGTCCACCTTCCCGTCAGCGTTTCTAGTGTGGCCTGAGTTGGTGCCCAGCTGTTTGTACCGGGAGGTCATGACACTGCACCAACCCCCACCCTCAGGAGACCCTTCCTGTCCTGTGGCCCTGGCTTTTGCAGGAAGTACCTCTAAGAACAGTGGGGAACCCAGGGCAGGCTTTGGGTGTGCGTGGCCTGGGCTGAGAGCTGTTGTCTGCTCTGTCCCTGGAGCTGGAGGGCCCGCCACACCCTCTTGCTTCCCCCCATTGTGCCTCCTTTCCTGTTGAGCCGGGAGGTGGGGGACATTTTCCCTCCCTTTGAGGACCTGCCTGCCCGGAGCTGTTTCTCCTTGTGTTTTCCGCAGCATCTCCCGAGACCCCCCTCTCTGGCCCTCCCTCTCGTGGGCTCTGGGGTCTGCAGACTCCGCCCCTTGAGCTGTGTGCTGGGAGGTGGGGTCGCACCCGCTCCCCCTCCGCTCCCTCAAATGTAAAAAGAGGACTCATCAGGTTGCTCTAGTGGGGCTGGGAGGGCTCTCTGAGCTAAGGGCGTCCCTGCTCTGGGAAGCCTGAGCCGTGGTCAGCCTTGTCCCCAGCTCTGTGGACGTGGGGGCTCTGAGGAGAGCCCAGCTGGACGCCCGCAAGTCCAAACATCCTGTTCTTTCTTGAACTCCCTCCTGGAGCCACAGGGAAACGCTGTAGGTTTTTTTCATCTACTCCTATCGGGTGACACGGAACACACAAGCCTGGCTGGCTTGAGCTGCCGGCTCTCTGACGGGTGGAAGCAGGTCCAAGCTACTGAGCAGGGTGGCGGCTCCTTTCCTGGATTAGGGCTGACTCTGTGGGAACTGGACCACCCCTGAGTTAGGAGGGCAGCCCTGATGCCTCCCCAGGGCCCGGGCCTGCCGTGGAGCCCCTTCCTCCTGGGCAGGGGGCACCCCGGGCACCTGTCCTCCCCACCCCTCCTGCCTCCTCCCCTGCAGGTGAACTTCCGCAGCCCCCGGAGCGGCCAGAGATGCTGGGCAGCACGGACCCAGGTGGAGAAGCGGCTGGTGGTGCTGGTGGTACTTCTGGTGGCAGGACTGGTGGCCTGCCTGGCAGCTCTGGGCATCCAGATCCAGACAAGTAGGTGCCTCTGTGTCTCGTGGTGGGCTCGACGCCCTCCTGCCCCCGCCCTGTCCAGCTGTGCGAGGGCAGCTTCCTGCTCAAGCTGGACTGGCTTCCAAGGCCGAGCAGGGGGCTGGGCCTGCTGGGCTCAGGGAGCTGAGGATAGACCGAGCCCAGGGAGGTGGGCGGCTGGATGGTATGAAAGTCTTGGAACCAGAAGGACCAGCAAGTTCTCAACTGTGACCTGGAAAAGCCACGTCACTTCCCAGAGCCTTCGTCTTCTCTACTTTAAATGGGTAAGCAGTGCCCAATTTGGAGATGGCTCTGAGGATGTACCTGGCGCCTGAGAGGACTTCCTCAGCTCGGTTCTGGGCACTGCTGTTGTTAGGACGTGGGACGGTTAGACAGGCTGCCACTGCCTGCTGTCCTCAGCCCCAACAGACTAGCAACAAAGGCTTCTGTTTACTGTACACCTCCCGCGGGCCAAACGCCTGTCATTTAAGGCTGTCGCCTCCTGTCCTCCTCAGAGCACCCCTGCAAGGCGTGGTTGCTTTGGGTCCTTTTCCATATGAGGAAATGGGCATAGACCAAGTAACTTGTCCAAGCTTACGCAGCCAGTGGGGGTCGAGTGGCAGGTTGAGTGGAGAAGTTTGCACAGGCTGCCGGCTCCTGAGGGCTCTGGGGCCCAGGCCCTGCCCACCCGCTTTGTAATCAGGAGGCACTCCGGAGCATACCAGGACCCCCAAAGGAGCTCAGCTCTGTGACCCAAGGCCTTCGCACCTCTCTGTAAGTGGTGTGTCTGTTCCATCCCACATGGTGATGCCATGGGGCCTCTCAGGTCCTACGGTCAGGGGTCTGAGGCTGGATCTCATGTCCAGCTGCGTAGATCCAGTCAGTGCCTCATTGCTCAGCCCTTACACAACCCAACAGGGTAGATTCAGGTTACAACCAAGGCCAGGGGCCCATTCTCCTGTACCCCCACATCCTGCTTTCTGCTGGTCCACCTGGTGAGCAGCCCCAGGGGTTCCATCCACCAACTTGGTCACTCACCCCATCAGAGAGTTCTTGGCTGTATTGAGCCTTTGCCACTGTGAAGTTGCTGACCTGTGAGGGTAGCCATGTTGGGCTGGGGTGGGGAGGGCCCTTGGGGGCCTGAGGAGAGAGCAGAGACTTCATCTGAGTCACCCCTGCATCCCTCTTGTATGGGACCCATATCATTCATTCATTCCACAAACGTGATGGGTGCTTACTCTGTGTACAGGCACTGAGCTAAGGACCTGTGTAATACTTAAGAAATAATCACTTGATTATTTAACTATTTAATGGTTTATGGGCTTTTTACCAAATGTGCCTGGCCCAGCAGGTGCTTAATGCCTATTTGATTCATTAATTACTAATCTCCAGACTTTTAACCATATGTGCCTGGCATTGTGCCTGCATATCTTAACTGTGCAAACAGTAAATCGAATAGACGAAATTTTCTTAGAGATCCTGCACCTACTAGAAGAAAAAGTAGGCCCAGATCTTCATCATGTTGGCCTAGGAACTGGAAGTTGGAGTGAACCACAGAGTAGGAGGATTAAGCCTTTCTCTGCCGAGTGTGTGTACCTGACTGTGCAGGTGTGAGTTGCGAGTGTGTGCATGCACCTCTCTGTCAACAGGGCACAAGCAGATCTTCCTCACCCTGAAGCTGCCACCTTACCTTGTCCTCATCGAAGTCAGTCCAGAACAGCTGGCCAGTCAGTGTGGAGCCTGGCCAGCCCCGTTGCTCAGCTCATGGCCCAGGACCCGGGGAGTGGGGCAGATTCAGCAGCCAGTGTTGCCTGCGACCATCCCTAGGAGTTCCTGCCAGGAAGTTTCTTCACCGGGAACCAAAAGGGAACCCCCAGGGTCAGCTCCTAGCAATCAAACCCAAAACACTTCTGCCAAGTGGGGCCCACACGGAAGAATCCTGCTTCTGCATCGTGTTCCTGGCTCTCGGGGCCTCAGGCAGATTTTCCCTGGCCTGGACCCGGGAGAGGAATGAGCCGGGCAGAGGATCAGTGACCCTGGGCCACCTGAGAAAGCAGTGGCCACCTCGGATGTTGACAGTAACCTCGTTACCCAGCAGTAGGTGCTGACATTGGCCACAGATGCGCAAACATCGGGCCAGTCAAGGCAGATCCTCTGGTGATTCTACAAGACCCGCCAGTGAGTATGTCTGGCCAGTGAAGTGCATTCCCGTCCACCCTCCTGCTAGGCCCTCCCTCCCGGAAACTCTCAGGTGCTTTGCAGACAGCAGCCGCCAAACAAACAATTATGTTCTCCCAGGAAATATTTCAAAGCATCTTTGATGGCACTATCCAGATGAATGCTTTCGACGTGGGTCTGGTTCCTGCTTCTCAGCTGACCACACATCCTAAAGGGAAGAAATATGAGCCCTGCTGCAGGTGGTGACAGGCGCTGGGCAAGGCACTTTCATTCAATCACTTGTTCATTCCACAGACGTGTATTGAAGAGCTGCCTGATGCCAAGCACAGTGACAAGAAGAGGACATAGAGGAGCAAGGGAGATATCTGACCCACCCTGAAGCTCATATTCTAGTGCAGGAGGTGGATAGGGAGATACGGTCGTGACCCAGTGCAGCCCACACTGAGATGGCAAACACCCAGTCAGCGAGGGACCCAGAGGGGAAGAGGGTCTGGAAAGGTTTCCCTAAGGAACGGAAGCCTTGGATGAGCAGGGCGGGAAACCATTAATTAACTAACCAAATATACATTAAGACCTGCTTGGCCAAGACTATTTGTTTAAAGATCGTCAAACCCTAGAATAGTTAGATAACCCAACAGTCACTACCCGGGCCCAGCCAGGAACCCAGGGCAGTGTCTGCAGAGGAGGCGCCCGCTGAAGATGCCACCTGCAGGACCGACTCTAGGTGCTGGTTTCTGCTTTTGTCTTCAACCCTGAGCCCCTCAGCACTCTGCCTTCTGGGTCTTTCCACCAGCCAGGATCGTGCCAAGCTTTACTTCCTGTGGTTTGGGTGTAACAACAATAGGTATTCTTTTTCTTTCCCAAATATGAAGTTTTATCATAATAGTGAATAGGCCTTGTCAAGCCACACACAAGTTCTCTTCCGCCTTCCCCCATAAAGAGTCCTGTCGTCGCTGTGGCTGGGGACGGGGACATGCAACTCTGAAACTCATGACAAGCTCATCTGGAAATATTGAAAATGGCAGCTTCAGTCCTGCCGTAGAAGAGATGCTCTGGGCTCACGCACAGTAGCTCAGTAATTTTTAATTACTGCCTAATCTCAAAATTAAGTCACCCTGATTTTCTTGCTGTTGTGTGACTCCTCTGAGCCCTTCATCCACCTGAAGGACTTGGTGTTTGTCAGCTGAGGGGGATAAGCCCCCGGGGGACCTGCTCAAGACCCTCAGCCCTGCTGGTATTGTTTCTGAGTGAGCTGAAGGCTGCAGTCTTTCGTCCTCTCTAAAGATTAGCCGGCACCCCAGACCTGTCTGGTGTACCCTGTGTGATGGGATCATGTGAGGTCTTCCTGTCGTCACTGTGAAATGGACCCTGGAAAAACAGAGGCTCAGAGGTTTTGTTTTTGGTTTTCGTTGGAAGTGCTGGGGGTTGACCCAGGGCCTTCGGTGACAGAGTGCACACTGCCGAGCTGCGCCCCCAACCCAGGCTCGGCAGGAGGTCTCTGCGCCAGACCGCAGAGGCAGAAGCGGAAAGTTGAGATTTGAACCCAGATCTACCAGTCTCCAAAGCTACCCAGCCTCACTGCCTCCCTGTGTGGTGAAGGAACCAATCCTGCCAGTCAGGCCACTCCAGCCCCTGCTGTGGCCACCAAAGAGGAGACGGACAGCAGGAAAACCCGGCCTTGGGGCTGCTGGGCCAGGACAGGCCAGCGTTCGGCTCTCAGCTCTCCTGTGCAGCTGGATGACCTTGGTCTGGTCGCTCTCTCAGAGCCTCAGTTTCCTCAGGGATATTCCACCCGCATCTGATGCTGGAGCGAGGGTTGAAAGACCGTGAATGTGCGTGGTGGTCCTGGTGCCCAGCCTGTTCAGGAAGCAGTCCCCCCTGTGGCCTGGGTGGCTCCTGGGGGCAGGCCATGAGGCGGGCAGGTTCATTCGTCCTTTGGCCTCAGGGAGCCTCTGGGGACATGCCAGGTTGGTCCCTTGCGAGAGCTCATCAGACAGCCTTGAGGCAGGGTCCGGCCCTTGCTCACGCCTTTGGCAAACCAGCCTCTCAGGTTGTTTCTGTTTATTTATTTATTTATTTTTTTGGTTTAGGGTTGTTTGCCACCGCCCCCCCTCAATTGGGACAAGCAGCTCTCCTGCCTGGTGAGGGAATGGCTTCTCTCAGTCCTTTCCCTGCCCTGAGTCCTGGTACCATATGTCCGCATCACCCAGTTGGCTCCTAGTCAATGTTCAGTTTAGTTTTGTAAATAAGTGGCAGTTTCTCCTGGTGTGTTTTGACTTTGCTTATGTAACATGTGTGTCCCCAACAGAAGGGTCGGCTCCTGAAGGGAAGGACTGCCTCCTGTCTCCCCGCCTCACACACACTCTGTACTCGGCAAAGGGCCTCAGTATTGATTTTGTGGAGTAGATGAGTGCATGAATGAGTGGATAAGTGTGTTGAGCATCGAGGAATAATAAGAAGTCAGAGAATCTCTGTGGAGGGAAGGGTTGATTAAGGGAAAAGCACCCCTGGGTGTGCTGGTGCCCACCTGTAATCCCAGATTACGTCGGAGGCCCAGGTAAAAGGATAGGACATTTGAAGTCACCCTCAGTTTAGCAAAACTGTCTCAAAGTAAAAAAGGCTGGGGATGTAGCCCTGGGGTGATGAGCCCCTGGATTCAATCCCTAGAAAAAAAGCACCTGGGCTCTAGGTACTTTTAAGCCACAGAAGGGATTTTAGGCAACGGGCAGAAGTCTTGTTTCACAAACCAGAAGATCATGAAGCTGCCGGAACCCTTTCTTGTTCGGGGTCTAGTGACCATCCAGTTCCAAGTCTGTTCGGTCAGGGCAAGGGTGGAGCTCGTGTGCTGGGGTCCCTAGGCCACCTGCGCTGCCCTCCGCAACCCTCCTCCCTGCCCATCACTGACTTTTTTCCCTTACCCCTCCAGGAACACCCCCAGTGTGCCTGAGCGAGGCCTGCGTCTCGGTGACCAGCTCCATCTTGAACTCCATGGACCCCACGGTGGACCCCTGCCAGGACTTCTTCAGCTATGCCTGTGGGGGCTGGATCAAGGCCAACCCCGTGCCTGATGGCCACTCACGCTGGGGGACCTTCAGCAACCTCTGGGAACACAATCAAGCCATCATCAAGTACCTGCTGGGTAAGCACCAATGGGGACACTAAGGAATGGGCTGCAGGGGGCGCCACCTACTGCACCTGCCAGCCAGGCCTGGTCAGAGGAAGGGCATTGCCCTGTCACTCGCTGTGGGGCCCTGCTGTGTGAGTTATTCATCTCTAGTCTCAATTTCTTTGTGTAACAGCATTAATAACATCCAAACTGTAGAGTTGTTTTGTTTGAGGTGCTGGGAATCAAACTCAGGGCCTTGCATATGTTAGGCAGGTGTTTTGTCAAAGTTTTGAAACAGGGTACTTGCTAAATTGGCCAGGGTGGCTTCAAATTTGCAATCCTCCTGCTTCAGCCTCCAAAGTAGCTGAGATTACAATCATGCACCATTGCGCTCAGCCCAAACTGCAGGGCTTTGAGCACTACAGAACACACTGTGTTGCGTCAGCCCGTCTGTGACATATACCAGGCACTCAGGAGCTGGTAGCTGTGGTCATTTTATTTTGTGGCTTTAGGATGCAGCATCGTCCTTGACTAGCATTGACTGAGTTTTGAAAGCTGTGAGCAAATGGAGTCAAGGCTGGACATACCACATCAGACTTTAACACTACGGCCCAACGAAAGTTCTAACAGCTTATCAGAGAGTTAAGTTCTCCACGTAGGCAGGGGTCTTCCATGGCCTCACAGACTCTCCAAAGTACTTTTGACTTTGGGGTTGATGGTTTCATCCTCAGATTCCAATCCCTGTCTCCCTTGTTTGCAGCTGTATTTCTGGTTCATGTTGTTGAATTCCCATCAGCCCCATGGAACCCAAAGGGAGTTCCAGTGCCGGGCTACACCCCAGTCCTGACTCAAACCCCTTGGCAGTAGGGACCTTTTCCTGCTGCCCCCTGCTGTCCCCTGTCCTGGGACCCTAAATGCTGGGAAGGGCCAGATTACGAAAAAAACAATCCATGCAGCCATGCTGGACAGACCTTGGTTTTGACAAATACTCATTAACTTTTTGAAAACCACTCAAGACACCCGAATAGATAAAATGGAAGAAGCTACCTGAGAGGGGACAAATCTTCTCAAAAGGACAGTCATCTCCTTACGAGACAGGAAATGATTCTAATTTGACAGTTATGAAATCAAGGCAGCTGGGGCTCTTGGTGAAGGTGGGAACATGTACACAGGTGAAGGAGTCCTTGACTCGCTCGTGCCTCGTGCTGGGGCACAGCTGCCACCAGGTAAAACCTGCTTGTCCTTTCTCCTTGACCCGGGCAGTTCCTGGGTGGGATGCCCCTCAGCACCCAGTGCAGCGACAGCCTCCTGCTGGCCCCCCAGGGATGGAGCAGGGTGGTATGCGAACGGAGAGTGGAGGAATCTGCAAGCCAAAATGGCCAAGCCTCAGACTGAGATGGCCCCCAGCCATCTGAGGCCACCAAAGGTGTCTTCCAAAGGGGGTGCCGCCTTTTGTTTCAGATCTGGAAGCTCAAGTGGCAAATATGTCTCTGGTTTCAAGGCTACAACTCAGGACAGTCCCTTCCCCAGTGCCCAGTGACACAGCCCGGGCCTTGGCAGGACCATAATGAAGCAGCGGGTGGTCCAGACATGTAGCGAGGTGGGCTGGCCCCCTGCTGCAGCTGCAGGAGCTGGGTTCAGTGCTGACTCTCACTGAGGGGTCTGGGCCAGTCCCGGAGCCTGGTTTTTCATTGACACACTGGCAACCACGCTCCTCTGAGTTGTAAAATTTAATGGGAAAATATGTGTAAAGAGCTCTCCTCAGTCTGCATGTGGTGGTTGCTGTTTGCGGTGGTAGTACTCTCATTCCTCACATTAATCCCCGCACAGGACTGTACGGTTCACAGAATGCTTTTGAACTGTCATCCCATTTTATCCTGTAGGGTGGGAGCTGGGGAGGTATCGTTCACCTCATTTGATAGATGAAAAAACTGAGGTTCAGAGAGGTCCTCAAGATAGGCTCATAGTTGGCCTGATTCCTGGTCATGTGCCCTTTCCCCTGTCCCATGCCCTCTCCTCAGGTATGAGGGACAGACATAGCTCCCTTGTCACTGTGTTGAAGGGAGCACAGAACACTGAGGGCTGAAGGAGAGTGGGAAGGACACTGGCAGTTTTTGAGTGTCTGTTATTTTAGGCTGTTTATATCTACTGCCTCTTTAATTCTCATTAGCATCCTGGGACTTAGGGATTATCGTTCCCATTTTATAGATAAGGAAACGGAGGCTCAAGATAAGGAAACGGAGGCTCAGAAATGTGAGATAATTTTGCCAAGAACAGACCTTCATTCCAGAATGGAGGGGGGCTCGTGCTCTGGGGGGCAGAGAGCATCGAGGGGGAGAGGAAGAAAGATGGGCAGTTAGGCCCAGAACCAGTCCTTTTGCTTTGTGGTCAGGGGTGCTGGCCTCCCACTAGCCTGGAGCTGATTCTTACTGGGAGGACCTTAGACCTGTGCCAAGATTGGATCCATCCTGTCCTGTTCCCTGTACGTTGGCAGGGCTCATGAGGAGTGGCCTCCAGGCCTGGGCCGTAGCCTTACATCACCGTGTCCCTGAGAGTCCCCGTTGTACATGGAAAACTGCTCTGAGCCGGGCACAGAACAGCCGGCACCAGGCGATCAAACCCTTGACCCCACCCAGGGCCAGGGGCTGATGGTATCAGGAGGCAGACCAGAGAGCTGCGAAGTCTGGTGGCCTTGGCGTGTGAGCTTGGCCGCTGCCAAGTGACCTGCTTCTCTCCACCGTAGCTCCAGTCTCTGTGAAATGGAGCCAGTGCCACCGGGAGTGAGTCTGCTGTGACACTGACTGGCATGTGGTGGTTCAGAGGGCCATGCACAGGGCCTGGCACCCACTGAGGGCTCAGCAGGGCATAGGCGCCCTTCTTGGTGGAGTGGGTTCCAACCGGACTTCATCCTGACAAGCTGTGTGACTGCAGAGAGCCACCAGCCTCTCAGGCCTCAGCTGTCCACCTGTGAAGTGGCTGCAGCTCACATGGTTAATAAGGATGCTCTAAGGGAAAGAATCACTGCTTATTTTGTTTCTCAGGGAAGCACTGACGCGGACCTGGTTCCAGAGCAGGCAGTACAGGCACGTCCGCGCCACCGAGGCTCTTGGGTTACTTCATTTTATTCCCGTGGTACATTCAAGTAGGCACCAGTATATTTCCATTTTACAGATGAGACTCACAAAGACAAAAGAAATGTATTTCTCAGGAAAAGGTGGAGCTGGGATCAGCTATGGGGTCTCAAAACTTCTGTCCTTTGTCTCCTGGCTCTCCTGAAGTCAGATTCCCACAGACAGGCCCCGAGTGACGCTGCTCAAGAGATTGGCTGAGCAGCGCCTCCGGCCTCCCGGCTCCCATCTGCAGTGGCTGCTTGGTCGAGCTTTGCAGGCCAGCCGAGCCCTGGCCCAGGCCTGACTCAGTACTGGGGTTACCTTCGCGTCACACTGACCAGAGGCTTGGAAGGCACATCCTGGGGTCCCGTCCCCATCAGGGTTACTCCTGGGGATTAGTCTAGAACAGCCCCTCACCTGTGGGCCTCGATACCTGGGGCCTCAATACCTGGGTGGACACTGGAACGAGAGAGTGCTCAGGCTCCTCTGAGGTCACCCGGAGCAGACTTCTTTCTAGATGGACAGAGGAAAAGGATATTTGCAGTGCCGGCAAGGACGGCGTCCACTGGTCCAGAGAACAGCAATTATCATCCATGTGCCAGTGAGCTTGGGCAAGCCGTGCGTTTCTCTCATGGGTGAATTCACCCCAGGCCCCTCAGGAAATCCAGAGACCTGGAGCAGGTGGGCTGAACTAGGCCCAGTGCCACTGTGGTGTGCCCTCCTTGCAGCCTGCTGGCTGGAGGGTGCGACCTCAGCTGTTCAGAACACAGGCGCCTCACTGCACTCTGCCACTCCCCCAAGGGACATACAAGCACTACCTTGTGGACTTAGGGGAGACAAGAGTGTGGCCTCACCAGGTACAGGGGCGCAGGCCTGTAATGCCAGCCACTTGGGAAGCCAAAGCAGGAGGATCACAAGTTCGAGGCCAGCCTCAGCACCTTATCGAGGCCCTAAGCGACTTAGTGAAACCCTGTCTCAAAATGAAAAATAAAAAGGGCTGGGGATGAGGCTCAGTGGTTAAGCGACCCTGGGTTCAGTCCCAGGTAAAAAAAAAAAAAAAAAGTGTGGCCTCACATCATCTGGGAAGCCAACAGACAGGCCCCTCACTCCTTAGCCTGGCCCTTGCCTGAGGCTTTCCCACTGTGCTTGGATCAGATATTCCAGCCTCTAGAGTGCCCCCACCCGGCCCTTCAAGACCCCTTCGACCCACTGCCTCTATTGTGTCTTCCAAGGGCTTCTTAGGGCTTGAGCTACACGTGCATCGTGGTACTGTCAGGTTTACTCTACAATACCTACAATATCATATATATAGATAGATAGATAGATAGATAGATATTTTTTTTGCATAACAAAAAAAAAAACGTAATGCAAGCTTGTAACAATTCAAGCAATACCGGGATCATAAGGGAAAGTTCGCAGCCTCCTTCCTTCTATCCCAAACACCAATCTACACATGCGCGCTATTCCAGCGGCATGAGATGTGTCCACGTCACTGATCTGGCAATGAATCAGGTCACCCTGTGTCATCGCTCATGGTTTTGTTTTTATGTTTCCCACATTTGCTGTTTCATCTTCCTGCCCTCTGTGGACAGGCTGTGCCTCTGAAATGCTAGCTCTGTGTGGGGCACATTCTGGGGACGGGGCCGCTCTGGGGTCCCAAGGGCATAGAAATTGTTTGGCAACCTGAGACCAGACCACAGAGTTTCCAACTGCCTGGATACTTCCTTCTTGGGGCCCTGAGTTCCAGAAACTTCCCCAGTCACTTCCCCAAAGTCCCGGAGAGGAAAGACAGCATCCCATTTAATCGGGCCACTTCTTCCTCTGGGAGTTTTTATTGGAACGCCCTTTCCCACATCACTCCTCAGGAGCCTGCACGAGCCCAGGCAGGCAGAGCGGTGACCCAGGGGGGCAGAGCGGTGACCCAGGCGGGCTGCGGGGGGGGGGGGGGGCGGGGAATTCCATGGTCTCCCTGGCTGCAGCAGGACTGCCTGGCCAGGGACGTGTGGGGCCCCCACTTCGCCATCAGGGCAGGACCTGTGTTTGTTTTAGATAAAAACCACAGACTCAGTTCCAACAGTCACAGGCCTCCAGAGCCCCATCCTGCTGGGGAAAGGGGGAGCTGATAAAGAAGGCGCCTTGTTCTGCAGGAGAAAAAAAAATAAGAATACCATGTGTCATTGCCATTCCTGATGCCTACTGCAGGCCAGGCCCTGCACCGAGATCTCATGGACACCCCACGGGGATTCAGCATCATCCTCGCATTTCAGAGACAGGGAGAAGGTTAGGCCCAGGGAGGGGAGGGGAGGCGCCTGCCTGGGAGGGCAGAGCCCACAGCGGCTTGGGCTTGCTGGAATTTGAACTCAGGCCGCTTAAGCCTCTCTGGGGACCCCCCCCCCCCGCCCCTGTGTGGGTGTGGCCGTGTGTGTACATCTCATCCTAACAGTTCCCACAGCGGCTCTTACTAGTACCACACCCAATTTATAGGTGAGAGGTTGGGTAACTTACTGGAGGTCGCACGAGTCAGTGGCTGAGGCCCAGGGCAGAGGTCCACTCGGGGGTCTGGTAGAGATGCCCAAGTGTCTGAACCTGAACTTCAGACCGACGCTCTTCACTTGCCACTGGTTCCCCGGGCTCCACATCCTGGTAAAGGCAGCTTCTTGCCCAGGCTGAGGAAGCCTGGCACGGTTCCTGACACTCTCACCCTCCTCTGCTGGCCCAGGCCCCCATCTTGGCCCACCTGCTCTACTGCAGTGGCCTCCACCTGGCCATCTTGCTTCAGCACTTGTCCCTGGAGCCCTTGAGTGAGGAAGGAGAGGAGGTGGGAGAATCCCGGGGCTCCAGGAAGCAGAGTGGGAAGAGGAACTTGAACTTCCACCAGGGCTTCTGCCCCAGCCAGAGCTGGAAGCGGGGTCCAGGTGCGGTACCCCTGGAGGGGGCGTAGCACAGCACACACCTGCATTTCCTCTCCATGCAAATCCTGCGTGGCACCAGCCCCATCACCCTCCTCCCCTGATGTGACATCCTGCCTTGTTAAACACGGACACTGACTCCCTTCTTTGAGCACATGTTGCTGAAGGCCTACTTTGTGCCTGTTCAGGTTCTGGGGACACAGGGATGACTAAGACACAATGTGGGGCGAGGCGGCCCACGCAGCCCCACTCCCGCTCCACGTCAGCCTCCTCCTGCCCAAGCAGGGCTTCCTCTGGCTGCCTTCCCAGGCCTCTCCCACCATCCTCTCGTGGCTTCTGGCACCTTCTCCTCATACTCCCCTGTGTGGAATCAAACACTCTCGTGACTTTAGTTGCCATCTGTTCACCACTGGGCTGCCAGCTTCCGCGGACGGGTCCGTGCATCTCCACACCCAGCCCGGCAGCCACCAAACGCCAGAAACACACAGCTGTGGGAAAGCCAGTGAGCAGGACCCCAGGTTGCTGGAGGAACTTTGAGCTTGGTTGGGGAGCCTCTCAACAAAGGAGAGAGGGAGGCCATGCTTGAAGGTGGTGTCCTTGACCTCCAGGTGCTAGGGAAGGAAGGGCCAGGCAGCCTCAAGCTGGAACTCAGAATGTGCTGTGATTAGCACAGCCAGGCTGTTCCTGGTGAGCCTTCCTGGGCCTCTTATCTGGGTGGCCTTGGGCTCTGGAGGAGGGAGACGCCAGGCCCTCTAGCTGTGCTCAGAGCACCTCCCCTAACAGTGGCCCTGGCATTCAGGGTCATGACTGGAGCCAGATGTGGATGGTGAGGTGCAGCTTCTGGGCCTGGCAAATGATGACAGTTCTCCTGCTTGTCCTTCCAAGAGCCTAGCTGCTGGAAAGGGAAAAGCATTGCCACAGAGCTGAGGCCCCTGGAGTGAGGGACTCCCCTCTGCCGCCCCATGCTCTGCTTCCTGAGTCGGAGGTATGGCAGCAACCCTAGCTCGGCCTCCTTTCCCTCCCTTGTCCCCAGGAAGCCTCACACAGGTGTCTCCAGAGCCCAGCAGCAGCCCGTGGTCTCCAGGGCAGGGTTTGCCCCTCCCTGTTCAAGCCCCCAACCTCTGTCTCTCGCTCAGGGCCTTCTCCTGGCTCTGACCTGCCTTCAATCCAGCCCCCCGCGTGCCCATCCCCTATCCGGGGCTACCTCCCAGACCTCAGCTAGACTGGGCTTGATGCCCTCTGACCAGTGATAACCAAGGTGCTATTTATGCCAGAATGGAGGGACGGGGAGCCTTCTGGGGTGAGGACTGGAGAAGCTGATTAAAGACTGGCCAGGAAGTGACTCGTGCCCTTGGCACCCGGCGAATGCCACACACTTTCCTTTTCTTCCAGCAGCAGGCCCTTCCTGCTTCCTTCCTTGGCCCCACGCTGTCCACTCCCTCCACCCAGTGTCCTTTGCCCTGTTTCTACCTGGAGACCGCCTTTGTTTCTCTTTGAGACCCAGCTCCAATAGAACCTCCTCTGGAGGCCCCCCACCCCCAGGCAGAGGCGGGTGCTTCTCTGTGTTCCAGAGTCTCTGCAGTGTTAAAGCACTTTTGTGTGCTGTGTTCCTTCCTTGGCACATCTATGTCCCCGCTAGACCGTAAGCTCTTTGGGGATAGAGAGCAGGTCTTAATTTTGTGCCCAGAGTGCTGAGAATGTTCTGGAAGGAGCATCATAGGAGAGCCTCTGGGTAAAAAAAAAATAGACTGAGAAAGGATGGAAGCAAGTGGGGTTTTAGCAGGGTCCCATGCCGAAGCCTCCTGGGGTTGAGGACATTGTTGTCTGGTCCCAGAGTACCCGCAGTACCTGGCACAGAGCAACCCTTTGCTCTGCGTCCCATGGATGGATGGGACGATAGAGGGGTGGGTCGATAGAGGCCCACGAGAAAGGTACCTGTGGAAGAGGTGGGTTTGGAGAGATCTTGGGAGAAAGCAAAGGAAGAGGTTTAAGGTCAGAGGGCAACTAATCTGAGACAAGGACAAGTGGCCAGCCCAGGGTGGGAGCAAGCTGGACAGACGGACGCAGGGGCCAGGAATCTGGCGTGGACTGGAGTGGAGCTCTGAGACAGACACGCAGGCCCAGAAGCCCCAGCACATAGTAGGTCCTGGGGACCTGAGTAGTCAAACTCACCAGGTACAGATGGGGACCTTCTGTGCTCTGCTCATACAGGAGGGTGGCCTTCAGCAGGCGGCTCTGGACCAGGGGCTAAGAAGAGGGAGGATGGGAAGGGAGTCTCTGGGTGAGTGGGTAAGTGGGCGTCTGAGAACCAAAGAGGATGAGGTGCTGCTGGCCTGGGCTGGGGAGGGACCAGGAAAACAGCCCTTGGAGTGGTCTGCAGGTCTGTTGACTGCGCCTGGCCCCCCGAGGAGGAAGCGGAAAGTCAATTCACAGTGAATGTGGCCTTTCAGGCTTCACTCAACCCCAGTGTTTCTCACAAGGAAGGGTCAGCTGGGATCTGAAAGCCGAGACATGGCTCTGTCCCAGCACCAGGCAGGGGAGTTCCTGCCACGTGTTGGCTGGCAGGGATGCCGACTGTCCTGCTGGGTGGGCCTGGGCTGCCATGCCAGGGACAGGTCTTCAGGCCTGATCAGCAGATGGGCAGAGACAGGGCATGCCCTCCTGATCTGCACCCAGCTAGGATGGGGGCACTCATACCCGCTGGGGCTGGCTGCTCCCTGACGGCTTCACAGTGGGGAGCACCAAGGCTCCAAAAGAAACTTGCCTGGGGATCCCCAGCAGGTAAATGGGGGCTTATTCATGCTATCTCTTATCCTTCTAGAAAATTCCACAGCCAGCTCCAGTGAGGCAGAGAGGAAGGCCCAAGTATACTACCGCGCATGTATGAATGAAACCAGGATCGAGGAGCTCAGGGCCAAGCCCCTGATGGAGCTGATTGAGAAGGTGAGTCCCTGGGACACACTCTCGCCTCCTCCTCCTGCAGCGCCTCCTGCCAGCCCCTCTGGCTGCAGCTCTCAGGCCCACTGGTGCTCAGCCACCCCACACCTCCAGCCTCCGCACCCAGCTGGAACACGCAGCCTGTCTGTCTGACACTGCGTGTGCATGCACGTCTGTGCGTGGGGGGACTGTCTGTTGTAATGTGTGGGGTTGTGTGTCAGCATCTGTTGAGGACATCTAAGTGTCTCAGTGCATCTGCGTGGGCCTTGGGGACGATATTCACTGGGAATCTCGTCCTCTGGATTGCCACTTCCTTTTCCTCAGGAGGTGGGTGTGAGTGTGCGGAGAGGTGTGTGTTGTTCCAGAGAAACCAACAGGGAGTCTGAGGCCAGCAACAGAGCCAGACCTGCTGGCTGGAGGCCTCGCCTTGCTCCTGAGCCCAGGAGGAATCTTCCCTCCGGGCTAGGCTGCCTGGCACAGATGGAGATGGCTGCGGCTTTTCTGGCCACCCCTTGCTTGCTCAGGGGCTTGCCATCCTATCTCAATTCGGGGAAGGTATTGCTGCAGGCATGGGGACTCTCCCAGTCCCTCCTCTCTGGCACAGGCCCCATGTGTCAGCGTGTGCCAATCCTGGAGGACCAAAGAGATTTTTTTTTAAGTCCCAGCTTGGAGAGAGACCAAGGTAGACCATAGCTTATCAGCCTTTTTCAAAATACGGAGCCTTATTTCCCATAGTCACAATTGGATTTATGTCTTAATAGTAATCACGTTCGTGTGATTGATTGTCCAACAAATGAACAGCACAGGGGGCAAAGTCTCTGGGATTCACAGCTCAGTTGTCAAGGATGAGTCTTTGCTCCCTCCGTGGGTCTCCAGGTCACAGGTCAGACTCCCCCAAGGACGACCATCCCTTTCATTTGTCCTGGATGCTCCCAGAGGTCAGATGACTGCTCCAGGGTGAAATTTGCATACAGGGTCCTTACCACCTTCCCCTCCTATCTGCTCTGCCTTCTCCCAGCTTGGAGGCTGGAATATCACAAGTCCCTGGGCCAAGGACAACTTCCAGGACACCCTGCAGGTGGTCACTGCCCACTACCGAACCTCACCCTTCTTCTCCGTCTACGTCAGTGCAGACTCTAAGAACTCCAACAGTAATGTGATCCAGGTGAGCAGGCCTGGGCCGGGGAAGGAAAGGGTGTGGCCTTCTGGGATGGAGGGAGACCTGCCCTGGGCCGCGGCAGGCTTCTGGTTTCTAAGCCAGGGTTATTTCTGGCAGCCCTAAGCAGTGAGATTTTTACAGGCAAGAGACTATGAAAGGGCAGACTAGCCATCTTGGTGGGCAGCCCATCGTGGGCCACAGAAGTGACGAGTGATATCAACTCCTGCGCACAGCTGTAGCCACCTCTTTGTCCCCTCCCTTAGCCTCTGGCTCTGTGGTGCTGCTTGGAATGCTTTTGGTCCATCTCTCCCACCAGAGCCTGCCCAAGGCTGAGGATCAGCACACCCAGGAGAGCCCCCAGATTAGGGGTCATAAAGGCTTAGTTCTCAGCCCAACTGTGCCACTCACTCACTGTGTGACCTTAGCAAGCGGCTCAACCTCACTGAGCTGCACTTTCCTTTTCACCCTAATGAACTATAATAGCAGCTACCCAAGGTGCATCAAGGTGTGGCCAGAAGGTTCCAATGGTAGCCATCAGGAATTGACCCTCCTCTGCCTGCCCCACTCTCAGGAAACCCTGTACTGACACTGTCCTCTTGAATCCTCATTCCGGCTCCGAAGGTTAGGTGTTATCTCCCTAACTTTCTGGGCAAGGAACCTGGGGATCAGAAAGGTTAAGTAACTTGGGTTAAGTCACCTGTGTTGGCTCCTCGCCACTTGGGAAGGGTTTAGAGAAGTAGAGAGCATTGCTGAGGCCAAGGGGTGTTTGAAGAGGAAGGAGGCTCTGTCCAGCCCTCAGAAGGGCCCAGGTCCCTGCAGCTGACCCCACAGGTGGGCAGGAACGTGTCTGTCTTATCACCGAGTGATCCCATCTGTGACTTCGGCTACCAGCTTGTGCTCCTGCTGGGACCTGAGCTGGTCCTCAGTGCCTGGTGTGAGAAGTCCTGGGGCAGGCAGAGGCCGCAGGAGACACACAAGCCTGCAGCAGGGCCTTCCTCTCACTCTGCCTCCCTCTTTAGGTGGACCAGTCTGGCCTGGGCCTGCCCTCCAGAGATTACTACCTGAACAAGACTGAAAACGAGAAGGTGAGTGGGCCTTTGCGGTGGTTCTCCCACCGTGTCCCTCACAGCATACCTGGGCAGGTCTTAGAAGCTGGGGGAACACAGGGGTATCACTTTCCTGATGGGCAGCAGGCAGCCCAGTCGGGGGAGGGATGCCCCCAGGCTCGCTAGTTCATATGCAGGCACTGTGGGCACAAAGGGCAGGGGTTAGGTGTCATTTGTCCCCATTGTAGAGAGGCGGCAGTAGCATCCCCCACCATTTGAGGATCTCAGACCTTTTATATACCTCACCTCTAACCCTCCCAGTCACCCCAAAGTCACTCAGCTTCTCTGAACATCATTTGTTTTATCTGTCAAATGGGTATTCGTTTTGTCTCTGAGAAATAAGTCTCAGAGACAGAAGTGACCTGTTCAAGGTCACACAGCCAGTAAGTGGGGAGATCCAGAGCCACAACCAGATCACCTCCAACTGCTCACAGCTCTCCCTTCCCCTGCCCGGCCCACCTGAGGCTCACTCACCTGTCCGTGGGGCTCGAGGTCGAGTAGGAGAGGGAGACATTACTTCACTGACCACCCAACTCGATGCCAACTGTATATATTGTGATCAGGGCAGAGGGAGCCGAGAAAGGACTTGATTCAGCTCTAGGGACGTGGTGGCAGAGGGTGGTTCAGAAAAGGTGCATTTCCAGAACAGGAAGATGGCGGAGGACGAGCCCTGAAGGCAGGGCCAGAGCAGAGGGGCCAGCCTCGGGGAACCTGTGTGTGTGCAGAGGCGGTGGGCTTTACCAGGAGCGCCACGGACACCAGTGAATACACACAGCGCCAGAATCCTCCCCAGAGCTGTTTTCCAGCATGTTTCCCGGGCCCCGTGCACAGGGCCGCAGCTGGGCCGGCCTCACCTGGCCCACTGAGTGGCAGGTGGCAGCCACTGACAGACAGTTTGGGGGTGCTGGGTCCCACAGGTGCTGACCGGATACCTGAACTACATGGTCCAGCTGGGGAAGCTGCTGGGCGGGGGGGATGAGGACGCCATCCGGCCCCAGATGCAGCAGATCCTGGACTTTGAGACGGCGCTGGCCAATATCACCATCCCCCAGGAGAAGCGTCGGGACGAGGAGCTCATTTACCACAAAGTGACAGCCGCCGAGCTGCAGGTACCCTGTGCGCCAGCTACTGCAGGGGCAGGGCCACTGGAGTCGGACAGGGTTCTTGGGGGGAGGGGTCATACCCACTTCATCATGACCTTAAAGCCACCCTTGGAAGGAGGTGTTTATGCCCAGGTTACAGATAAACTGGGGCTCAGACAAGGAAGATTACCTGCTGGTGGCCACAGAGTGCATAGTGACTCCAGAGCTAGGCTCCTGCCCTCGCCGGGCTGCTTCGTGTGACAGCGTTTCCCTAGCAGCTCCATGGTCGTGACAGTAAGGCTCACGCGGACAGGGGCATTCCCAGTCATCCAGCACCGAGCACCGAGTAAAGGTGGGGTGTGGATTCCGACGCTGCTTCTCCCTTTGCTGAACAGGAGATGAAGAGACATGGTCAGGGCCCCGAGGCTCCTGAGGGCAGGGGTGCTGGCCCTGGGACTCAGGCTTGGCTCAGCTCTTGACCATGTCCCTAGGCAATATCCAGAGGCGTAACTGGGAGTCAGACCTGCCCTTTCTGTGAAACGGGTGTGACTCACCGGAGATCTGCTGTCCCCTCCGTAGGTCAGCCTTGCCGAGGCTGCCCCCTGGTGGCTGCTCAGGCCTCCAGGGCCTGGGGTGGACTTCCTACTGCTCCCTTCTTTCTGTGCAGTTGCTGACCCGCTTGTCCTGGGCCCTGGTGGTCTCCGAGGAATGAGCAGAGTGGTCCCACGGATCTCCCTGTTCCTTGCCCTCAGGCAGGAGCGCCTGGTGGCCCTTGCTGCTCTGCTGGGGCGGACCCTGCGCCTGCGGTGGGTTCCACTGCCGGTCTTCTCCCTGCCTCTCTCCCATCCTTTCCTTCTTCCTTCGAGGAGGAAGTTTCTGCCCTTTTTTCCTTCTCAATCTGACAGATGTATCAGGAGCCACCTTGGGCCCTGCTTTCCTGTGCTTCTGGTCTAGTGGGGACCCTGAGAAACAATCCCAGTCTCCCTGCCTAGTGCTGTGGGCGAGAGAAGCAGGGCGCTGAGGCCCGGTGGGGAGGGGCTGGGGAAGCTGAGGGTACACCTGCCCCGCGGGGACCTTGGCCTGTGCAGGGCCTCGTGGGCTTCATTCCGGAAGTCGTGTTTCCATTGGGTTTCCTGGGTGAAGTGTGTGGCCCTCTGGCCCCAGGCACAGGACTACAGCCAGCCCTGCTCCACCCTGGCCTAGTGGGCAGCAGTTTGGGAGTGTTGAGTCGCAGGGCTGACCGGATACCTGCACTACATGGTCCAGCTGGGAGGCTGCTGGGCCCCGGGGGTGAGGGCGCCACCTGGCCCCCGATGCAGCAGATCCTGGACTTTGAGACACACTTTATCCTGAGGGCTGTGGGGGGTGGGGTCTCCCAGGCACAGGTGCAGCCCATGCAAAGACCTGGGCTGAGGCAAGAGAGCCCAGCCTCCTGGTGCCACAGCTGCCCCTCGGGTCCCCGGGGAGGTTGGTGGCAGGGTGAGTGGTTCGAGCGGGTTGTTATGGAGATCGGCAGCCTGTGTCGGGCACCATCTGGCCCTGTTTTTCCGCTCTGAGGCCGGGAGGTGGAGGGAGATGCAGTTCACCCCCCAGCTGCAGGGGGCCCGGCCTGAGTGCTCGCCTCACGGCTCTGACGTGGTGCTCAGAGAATGGACATCAATCTGGCGTGGCCAGCGGGTTCTGCCCCGGGCAGCCTCTCCCCATTGCTTCCGCTCTCTTGTTTCATGGAAGAAAGGAAAGGTCATAACTTCAGCAGGGGCTGAAGACCACACAGTGCCTGCCGGGGTCCTGGAGTCAGAGGGTCACACCTTGAGCCGTGTGGCCTTGGCAGGTGAGGAGCCCACCCTGAGCCTTGGTTTCCTTCCAGGTAAAAAGGCCTTTGCTCATCTGCTCACACCTGTTCTGTGCGGGAACAGAGACAAATGAGACACGGCCCCTGCCTTCGCCAGGGACAGTGGCTCTTAACTCTTAAGTCATGGAGTCTTTTGAGAATAGCTCAAAAACTACGGACTGTCACCCAGGAGAAATGGGCATCTGTGCATGAAAAAAACACACAGGCTAACATTTAGAGAAGTTCTGGACGCCCCCGAAACCTGCCTGGCCTGCCCGCGGGTTATGAGGACATAACATGACGCAAAAGATGAGATTTTGTTTTGTAAACTGGCATGTGCAGTGGAAAAGTAACATCCCAGAAGTCATTATCAGTAGAGCTGTGCTTTTGTGATCGGTGATATTTCTCAGGTCCCCATCACTAAATTAACTTGAATCATTCCACCCTGGGACAGAGAGTGTGTTCTTCTCTGGTAGCTGGAGATTTGGTTTCTTCTCCTACTCAGGATGAATCGAGGAGAGAGACTCCAGGCTTACGTGTGGTTCAAGGCTAGACCTGCTGGAACAGAATGGTGTTCCAGGCTAGCCCCAAGTGGAGTGTGGATTCAGAGCCTGAGTCAGACCACTTTCTGCTGCTCTGGGGGTGGAAGGGGGGCTTTCTCGTTCCTCCTAGGACCTCCCATCCCACAGGCTGTTTGGGCCTCAGCCCCATCCTCTGCCATTTCTCCTGTAAAAATGAAGCCCGAAAGCACCCTCATCTTTCCCACTCCTCAGGGAGTTGATTGGTGCCCAGAGGTCCTCCTAGGCTGTGGGTGTGGGAAACAGCTCTCAGGCCTGCCTCAGAGGGATTTGAGTCAGGGCAGAGTGTCCTAGTCCATTAAAACTGCTGCATTAGCCAGGCGCACCTATAATCCCAGTGGCTCAGGAGGCTGAGGCAGGAGGATAGTGAGTTCAAAGCCAGCCTCAGCAAAAAGCAAGGTGCTAAGCTACTCAGTGAGACCCTGTCTCTAAATAAAAATGTGGCTCAGTGGTCGAGCACCCTGAGTTTAATTCCCCAGCACCAACCAACCAAACAAACAAAACTGCCACATCCATAGAGATGGATCTCGGCACCTGCGTCTCAGGAGTTCACTAAAGCAAGACACTGAAATGTGGACGTCCTGTTGTCAGCACAAGCCTCTTTATCTCCGAGTTGTGAGAATTGCCGTGTCAGGACTCTGCTCTCCCAGAACGAGCAGGTTTGTGACGAGTAGTAGGGTTTTCCCCACCTGATGCCTCACCCTGCACCAGGGATCCGCCACCTCAGTTCATGAAGCTCTCGTGAGCCCTGTAACTGGTGACATTCAGTAAACTAACCCACTTTCCCAGGGTCTTTGCCGCCAGGCCATGCAGTCAGGTGACCCTGATTGTGGGACCCAGTTTGAAGGTCTCATCACACACCTCTGAATTCTGTGGCCACAGAATTGTAGAGATTGGCCTGAGGGTCTCCTGCCAGGGAGAGAAGGGAGTCCAGGCCACAGGGGAGGCCAGGCTGAGAGGCCTACGGCAGTCAGCTCTGAGCTGGTTCCTGCTGGGGACTCTGATCTAGGCCTCCTCACGCCCAACTCATGTCACGCAGCTCATGTCGCAGCTGGGCGACAGGGCTGTGCTGGCGCTTGCTGGCTCTGGGCCCACTGTGCGCTTCTCTTCCCAGCCCTGTGGGGGTTTGCCATCCGTGTTGGTGGGAACATTCACCCAGGGATGACGCCAATCAGCCCCCTACTGAGAACTGGTGGATGACTTGTACTCCTTTGGGAGCTGCCCCCTCCCCATCCCCAGCCTCATTTGTCCTTTGAGATCTTTGTTCCCCAATAGATAAGATGTCCACTTAAACCCAGGAGCAGGGGCTGGGGTTGTGGCTCAGTGGTAGAGCACTTGCCTTGCACGTGTGAAGCACTGGGTTCAAGTCTCAGCACCAAATATAAATAGATGAAGGTATTATGTCCATCTACAACCAAAACTAAAAATAAATAAATCTTGTCATGTGTGTAAGAAATAATAAAAAATAAAAATAATAAATAAATAAATAAATAAACCCAGGAACAATGGCCTTGGGGTGGAGCCCAGTGGTAAAGCCTGTGCTTACCTGCTCAAGGCCCTGAGTTCAATCCCCAGCACCCCGTCAAATACACCCAGAGACGAGTGCCCTGAGTTTCATTTAACCCCCACAGTAAACCATATAACCTCAGGAAAGTCACCTTCCCTGATCAGCAAACTCAGCCTCTGTGAAGTAGGGGTCTTGTGATTGCCTGTCGCAGCAGGCGGGGTGGGTCTTAGGTGGCTTTATGGGTACGGTTTTCCTGTATGAAGGGAATGCATTTCTCACTTCCCGTATTTGTCTTACATTTCACCCTTTCAAGAGAATAGAGAATGGGGTTTGAAATCTGCCAGGCCCAGGGCCACTTTTGGAAGGTCTTAAGCGATGATCGTAATTTCTGGGATTGCTAGCTAAGTCAGGTGCCCATCCAAGTGACTGACATGTAGAGGCGTCTTTGCTAAAAGACGAGATATGCAGCCCAAAGCCTCGTGTTCTGTAAAACTGCACACTAAAAATAACTGAGCGTGTGGGGAATACAGGGCCAGAGCAGACACATTGTGCAGCTCTGCTTGAGGAGGTGACACCAAGGGACACACGCCAGCATTGAAGCCCGAATCCTATGTGTTCGAACTTAAACTGGGCCGCTTGGGCCGTGTCAGACTCACAGAGACAGGTGGGGGTAAGTGGAGGCTGGCCTTGAATTTGAGATCCTCCTGCCTCAGCCTCCTGGGTTCCTGGGATTACAAATGTGCAGCATATTTTACCACAATTTATTTTTAAAATGTTGTAGGACTTTATAACAAAAATCTGCAACCTCAAGAGGGATAGCTCGCATGGCTGGACGCTGCTGCTGCAGGAGATGCTGGCCGTGATGTGGAGGTGTTGGGGGAGACACCTCTGAGCAGGGCACCTTGGGGTGCCAAAGGGAAAGTGAGATCTGTTGGGAGCTGACAGTTATGAAAAGCCACGTGTCTCTCTTTGGAAAGCCCTGGGTACAGGTTCTCATTTTAGGTCCTTAAAACAGAGCTGCTGGGGCTGAGGTTGTGGTTCAGTGGTGGAGCGCTCTCCTAACGCTGGTGAGGCACTGGGTTCAATCCTCAGCACCACATAAAGATAAATAAATAAAAACAAAGGCATCGTGTCCACCTAAAAAAATACTTTAAAAAAAAAAAACAGAGCCGCCGCTGAGCATGATGGTGCATGCCTATAATCCCAGAGGCTTAGGAAGCTGAGGCAGGAGGATTAAGAGTTCAAGGCCAGCCTCAGCAACTTAGTGAGGCCCCAAGCAACTTAGCTGCCTCAAAATAAAAAGGGCTGGGGGTGTGGCTCAGGGGTAAAGTGGCCCTGAGTTCAGACCCCAATAACTCCCCAAAACAAACAAGCACAAAGAGCCGCGGGCCTGGTGGGTGCAGGGCTGAGCTGCGGGCTCCTCCCTTCTTGCTGCAGTCGTCACCGACTTTGCTGTCCCAGCTCCCCCCTCGGCAGCCTCACCTGTGGACCACAGTTTACCCCGCAACGCTGGCCTTCCTGAATGTTGGATCCTCTGCAGCAGACTGCTGCTGCCGACACCCTTGTTGAGTGGGATAGCACTGGCTTCTGTGCGTGATCCTCTCAGTTACCAGATACACGGGACTCATTGTCATGATGATCCCTGTTTTTCATATGAGGTGCTGAGGCACAGATGGGCACATTAACTTATTAAAGGTTGCACAGCTTATAAGCAAGGGAGCTAGACCCGGAGCCCAGTCCAGACTCCTGATTCTTACCTGTTAGGGGTCTGAGACTCCATGTCTTCCTCTGTAAACGGGGATAATTGTTGCCACTGCTTGGTCAGTTGGGCAGTGGCACATACCGCATGGGAAGGGCGTGGTGACGGTGGTGGCTGCTGTGCCTGCTGCTGCTGCAGCCTCTCATCCCACCCTGGTTCCGCTTCAGATGAGGTTTGCCTCTGGCTCCTGCGGACGCTGTCCACAGCAGCGCTCACCAGCCAGCCAGCCTCTGCCTGGAGCTCCATCAGTACCGTGGTCACAGGGCAGAGGCACAATGACGCCTTCCGAGGGACACCCAAAGACGGAGCTGAGGAGAAGCCACCCTCCAGCCTCACGCTGTCCCCTTCCCTTGCAGACCTTGGCACCGGCCATCAACTGGCTGCCCTTCCTCAACGCCATCTTCCACCCCGTGGAGATCAACGCGTCCGAGCCCATCGTGGTCTATGACAAGGACTACCTGGAGCAGGTCTCCGCCCTCATCAACACCACGGACAGATGGTGAGGCCGGCAGCCCTGCTGGGCAGGAGGGGCAGGACGGGCAGGAGGCAGCAGGGCGGCTGGACGCAGGGCGCTGCACCCTGGTGGGCTTCCCCGAGAGGCAGCAGAGGGTGCTGGTCCCCTGGGCAGCTTCAAATCCTGCTGCCCTCAGCCAGCTGTGTAGCTGTGGGCATGTCCCTTGTCCTTTGTTGGGGTCATACTGTGTCACCCATAAGATGGGAATGCAGATAGCACCTACCAAGCAGGGGATTCGTGAGAGTCACACGAAATGATTCATGTTTTAACACCATGCCTGGCATGGAACGGGACTCTGCCAATACCACCCATAATTTTTGGTTAATACTTACGGGTTTTTTATATTTTATTTTATTTTTTTATTTCAAAGGCTTATAGAAATGTTGAAAAATACAGAAAAATAGGAAAAATGTAAAATTATTCAAAATACTACTCTTGGTCATTTTGGGGGGTATTTGTGTGTGTGCATATCAGGGAGAGAAGGTGTGAGGGAAGGGAGGTTTACAAACCATAGCTCTTCTTTCTCCTTAATGTGACTAGATGGATAATCTACTTTTCCCTTGACTTTTCATTTTTATTTTAGTAGTAGTAGTACTGAGGATTGAACCCAGGGACACTTAACCACCAAGCCATATCCCCAAACTTTTTGTATTTTATTTAGAGACAGGGTCTCACTGAGTTGCTTAGGGCCTTGCTGTTGCTGAGGCTGGCTTTGAACTCACTGTCCTCCTGCCTTAGCCTCCCGAGCCACTGGGATTACAGGCATGCGCCACCGCACCAAGCCTTGCCTTGACTTTCATTATGAGTATTTTTCCCATGCCATCCCAAACCCTCTGTGAGGATCATTTTTATAGTTGTGTAGTATTCCATCAACTGTACATGCAATATTTGCCACACCCTCCCCCGTAGTCAGACTTTTAGGGTGATTCCGGTTGAGGCTAAATGTTCAATATAGTGAACATCTTTGTACTAAGATAACATCTTTGCAAACATGACTCAGCCATAGATAGGTTCCCTGTGCCCTGTGGGTGGGACATGGGAACTGTCATTCATGAAACCTGGCTGGCCAGAGCTTCCTTTCCTGCCCCTGCTGCTCTAAGGCCTCTACTTCCTGAATGGCCTTCAGCAGGGAATGGCAGCCTCCTCCCCACTGTAGCATACACCACCAGGGCGAGTCTCTAGGCAGCGGCATCACAGCTTCAGACACAAAGCAGCTAAGCAGCAGCATGTAATGAGCACTGCTGGTATGCAAGTGATTGCACTGGACACTGCGGGGTTCTAGGCGGAGCGCCAGGCGTTCCTCGGAGAGTTACATTCCATGTGCTTGGAAGGCAGCCGCCAGCCGAGCCCCAGGTAGGCTAGGAAGGAGCCCGGGGTGAGGCTGTTCGGGAGCCCCGGGCATTTCTGAGCCAGCGGTCCTCTCGCCCCAGCCTGCTGAACAACTACATGATCTGGAACCTGGTGCGGAAAACGAGCTCCTTCCTCGACCAGCGCTTTCAGGACGCCGACGAGAAGTTCATGGAAGTCATGTACGGGACCAAGAAGGTGAGCTGTGACAGTGATTCCCGGGTTCATGCTGAGCACCTACTGTGTGCTCTGTCCTGGGCTAGAGGCTGGAAAGACCACTGTACCCTCAGGGCTGTGGCACTTAGGAGGGTTGAGTCTAGGAGGAGAATGAAGAGGCCACTGAAGGGTCCATCTGGGGTCATGGGAACTCTGATGGGGACTTAGGTGGGCAGAGGCTTCCTGAAGGAGTTGGTTATGCCAAGCACAAAGAGGAGTCTTAGCAACTCAGCTAGTTTGCAGAGAAGGTAGTTTCTGTTCTGTCCCTCTAGCTGCTTCCCCGTGGAGATGTCAGCGCTCTCCTACGTAACTGTGACTCTATAGGTGGGGACTTCTTCCCCAGAAGCATCAAACACTTAGAACAGCACCTGCTCACGAGGGTTCCCTGATTCTTATCCTCCCTGTTTGTGGTCAGGGGAACCCCAGTCCAGATCCAGGCCTCGGGTTCTCTCAGGGAACAGGAGTCCCAGGCACCAGACTAGTAGGCTCCACCCATCTTAAGCGCCCCCAAACCTCTGCGGGTCCTTCTGTAGGAGGCCCCAGGCCTCCCTCCCTCCCGCCGGGGAAGCTTGCCTTCCGTAGGAATTCTGATCCCAAGACTGAGGCAGTCACCTCTCATTTATGCATCCAACAAACAGTTACTCGTGAACTTGTCACCGTGGGCCAGGCCCCGAGCCCAGTGTGGGAATACCAAGATGGGTGGGGTGGCTCTGTGCCCAGGAGCCCTGCCTGCCTGGGAGGTGCCAGGACTGACCTGCCCTCATGTACCAGAGGCCCAGAGAATGGCTGGGAGTGCCCCGGCTGCAGAGCAGGGGAGGCTGGGCAGAGATTTGAATGGGAGGTTCTGCTTCTTACCACACAGCCTTGGGCGGGTCTCTTAAATGGGGCAGGGACTCGGTCTTCCCGTCTGTGAAAAGGGTGACTGACCCCTGGGCTCCTTTTCCTCGGGCTGTAAAGCTGGTTCCAAAGGCGGAAGCTTCTGCTGGCCGCCTGTCCTCGTGCTACCTGCCTACAATCCGCAGTTCTTGGTGGGGAGGAGGGACCCCTCTCCGCTCCCTGCTGGTGCTCCTCGGGTTACAGTGAAGAGGCTACAAGTCGCACAGCCTCCTCAGGGACCTATTGGCCCCTCCTTTTCTGCCCGGAGGTGGCCCCCACGTCACATGAATGCTGCCTGACCCTCTCTTCTTTCAAAGAGTTTTCTCCTCATTCCAAAACCTTTGTCGTAGGCAGTCAGAGTGGCCTTTTTGTGGGAAGTCACTGGAGCCAGACTTTCTGGGCTCAAGCCCACCGCAGCCACTCACTCCCTGAGTGCTCCCTTTGGGCTAGTGACTTAACCTCTCTGTGCCTCGTTCCTCTCCCTTAGTCTCCCTGGGAGCATTCTAGGCGTGGGACCTGCACCCCCTGGGCACTCAGGCGCTCGGTGCTGTCACGGCTGTTGACACCATTACTGCGCCTCTGTCTCCTGCTGGATGTTCTGGGCATTTCCACAGAGTCCTCAAGGGCAGGCCCGCGGTTGATTCAGCTCCAAATTCCTGAGACCTGGCACAGTCCCCGAGCAGGGGAGTCACACTCAGGGGACAAATGGGTGTTTGTAAAGTGAATGGGTTTCTCCAGAGACGCCGGGCAGAAGATGAGTAAGAATCTGCCCGTGATCCAGCCGTCAGAGCCTCTGCCCAGCCTCAAAGTTGGAGGCTCCCTAGCTGTGTCCACCGTGTGTTCGGCCTCAGCATATCCAGGCCAAGTCTGTGTCCAGCTGTGGGCTGCCCAATGGCTGGCAGGGCGGCGGGCAGGAGGGAGAGGGGAGCAGAAAGCAGCCATTGAAACAGACACAGGTTGGGACAGCTGAGCAGAATCCGGGGGCTACACTTAGACTAGAATGGCCTTCCCTTCCTTCTTGACTAGAAGAAAAAATTTTTAATAAGTCATAATTTACATACAGTAGAGTATTCAATATACCTGGCCATGGTGGCACACTGCGGTAATTCCAGTGAGACCCTGTCTCAAAATAAAAATTTGAAACATAGACCAGTTTAGTGTGGTGCTAGGGTGGCCCTGGGTTCCATCCGTAGCACCCCATTAAGAAAAAAAGAAAGAAAGCCCTCCTAGCATGTGTGAAGCCCTGGGTTCAACCCCCAGCACTTAAAAAAACAACATGCACGCACATATGCATAGAGTGTGGGTGAAGGATACAGTTGGTTGATTTCTGACAATGAAGTCGTGCGTGTGACCACCAGCCCGGTCAGGACAGAGAAGGTTTCCATGACCCAGTTACCCGGCATGCCCTCGGGCCCCTTCCTGCGTCTCCCCGAGGTGCTGCAGATGGGCAGCCGAGTCCTACGCTGCCTGCCTGGCCGCCTGGCTCAGTGAGTCTGTGGGATTCGTCATGTTGTGGCATCTCTGAGTAGCTGGTTCCTCCGTGCTGCCAAGTGGTATGTCGCTGTAGAAAAACACCACATTTTGTTTATCCATCTGTCTGCCGATGGGCACTTGGGTTGTTCGCAGTAGGGCTGGTGTGAAGCAGGCTGCCCCGAGCTGGTTGTCACGCCTGTTCCTCAGGGTTAAGAGGACCCTGCAGCCGGACCGGTTTCCATAAGCAGGGTCATCACACCTGGTCATTCACACTGTCCATGGAGGGATGGCCGGGCAGGGGGCCAGTGGGCTGAAACCTTCCCGGTGCTCTTTATCAGCCCATGCTCTGGGGAGCTGCAGCCCAAGGACCATTTCTGGTTCATACTGAGGCGTCCTGTGGGCTTGCACTGCTTGTGGGTGAGACTGAGGAAGAACCAACTTAAGCCCTGCGCAGTGACACACCTGTGATCCAAGCTGCTCGGGAGGCTGAGGCAGGAGGATTGCAAATTCAAGGCCAGTCTGGGCAATGAGCGTTGTGAGACCCTGTCTCAAAATAAAATATAAGGAAAGAGCTGGGGTTGGGGTGGGCGTGCGGCTCAGTGGTGAGGCACTGCCTGGCATCCTTAGCACATTAAAAAAAAGCCGACATTGAAGTTTTATGATGTCACTGTGGCCTTCTCTCTCTAGGAGGCTGTAAATAGGGCTGGGCCCCTGGCCTTCTGGGCAGGTTCCCGTTGCTCGGGTGGACTGGCAGCTTCCCCAGGTTCTGCGCCTCCAAGATTCCTTGTGTCCTCCAGGAGGCAGGACCAGGTGGAGTTGGCGGGAGCCCCGGATGGAGGGCCAGGCATGTCAGAGTTCCCAGCCCTGTGGCACCCCTACCCACTGTCACCTGCTGGACCAGTGACTGCCCTTACTGAATTTCTGCTTCCTGTCTGTGCAGTGGCCCATCCCTGCCCGCTGGGGGTGCTCAGTAGCAAACCTTTGTGAAGTGCCAAGCACAGAGACTGGCACTCAGGAGACAGTAGGTGGTGGCCAAGAGGGGTGTCTGTGGCCCAAAGTAACTTCTGTGGTCAGAAGAGGTCTGTCTCCCTGGAGTTCTGGGGGGAAGCACAGGCCCCCGATGGCGCCACCCCCCAGGCAGGCCTTGGGAGAAGGAGGACTGGGCCCAGTGACCCTCTGCACTCGTGTTTTCCAGACCTGCCTTCCTCGCTGGAAGTTTTGCGTGAGTGACACGGAAAACAACCTGGGCTTTGCCCTGGGCCCCATGTTTGTCAAAGCGACCTTCGCCGAGGACAGCAAGAACATAGTAAGTACCTCCCCTGTGGACAGAGTGGGCATCGCATCTGCTGCCCCTGCCCCCAGCCTGACAGCCCACACTCTGCTCTGCCCTGGGCCTTTCCTGCTCCAGGCCACAGGATCCTGGGTCCTAACTCAGAGGCCGTCTTCTCAGGCTACAGGGTGTGAGTTACTAAATGACTTCCGTTGTTGAGGGCCAGGCCAGTTTGTGTTATTTAATTTGATCTTCCCAGGGACCCCACGAGGCTACCACAGCCATCTCCACCTCCTGGGGCTGTGAAGGACCCCACCAGGTAATGTTGACCTGGAAGTGACATTTTTCTTACTCTGAGGGTGACAGAATTATTCGGGCAGGTAGAGGATCATCATGGCTAAGTGCTGGGGAGACAGCCAGCCTCCAGCTCAGATTCTGGCTCTGTCACTTGGCTGGGTGACTTGAGCAGTGTTCTCCCCTCACCTGGGACATGAAAGTGGGGCTATCCCTTCTGCAGAGGGGTGTTAAATTGTTAAGGCGAGATAGCAATAAATCACCAAGTCGATCTTAAAGCAAGAGACGGAACCTTTATTCACCAGTTGATGTCTGGATCCACCATCTGGCGGGCCAAGGGCCAGGCTGCTAGTCCACACCCTTCGACCCCTCCCAGGGTTCCAGCACACCTTTTATAGTCCAAAACCATATTAACGCATAAGTGGCTGTTGCTATGATTCAAATCCATAAGCAAACATCGTAAGATCTAAAATCATAAGCAGTAAAGAGGGTGGGCCAAAACGTCCCTAGTCAAGGACAAGCTAAAGAATGGCTACTAACATCTAGACAGTCCACCTCTGACAGGGTAGATTGTCCAAGAAAAATGGGAACCGAAGAGGGGACACTTTTACGTTGTATAAGAATTGCCATCTGTGTCACCTAACATGCTGTGTTAGCCAACCGCTCGCTGATGGGTGCAGAGGCGGGGCTTTCCCACGGGAGAAACGTTTCTTACATGATGTGGAGTCTCAGGGCAAAATGGAGAATGTGTGGTCATTGCCCACACAGCCTGGCCATAACAAAATGAGATGCTACACGTAAAGAACACCTGGCCCAAAATAAGCTACAGTCAGTGGCAGCGATTGTTTATCACTGATGGTATCGTTTGCGTAATTGGTATCTGTAGTCAAGGGGCAGCGCTGCACCTCTAATCTGCTGAGGCAGGGGCTGGGGTGGTGGCTCAGTAGAGCCCTTGCCTAGCACATGCGGGACCCTGGGTTCGATCCTCAGCACCACATAAAAATAAGTAAAATAAAAGTATTGTGTCCAACTACAACATATATATATATATATATTTTTTTTTTTAATCTGCTGAGGCAGAATCTGAGTCCTGTCTGGCCCCAGCCCCACGGCTCTTGCCTTCCCCTTCCCCAGAATCTTCCATCTTCTATCTTTGGCCCCCGGGTCTGCCCGTGCATCGTCACCCTCAACAGCTGCCATTTGTGCCCTGAGTGTGGCCTTTCTGAGTGCTCCTCAGATCAAGTTCTCTGGGTGTTAAAGCTCTGTTCCATCAAAAAGGATCCCATCAGCCTGGGAGAGGCCATGTCTTCTGGACGGCTCCAAAAGAGCACCCCACCACGCTAAAGACTCCGAAAAGTCCTGCTGCGGACCTTTCCACTTCCCCAAGGCACGTCCCAGCTCATTCGACCACAGAGGCCAGTGCACGGAAGGCCCGTCTCGTCTCGCGGGATGTCCACTTAGGAACATGGTCTGAAAGCACAGCCATGGCCACCCTCTTAGCCCGCTCTGCAGAACCCGAGGCCTTGAGCCAACCTCAGTTTGACCTCGGGTCCAGTGTCATCCTGCCTGGGGCACTGGTTGCATCCAGGGGGCCAGTGCCCAGAGCTGAGGGTGCAACACCTGTCTCCTCAGGCCAGCGAGATAATCCTGGAGATCAAGAAGGCGTTTGAGGAGAGCCTGAGCACGCTGAAGTGGATGGACGAGGACACCCGGAAATCAGCCAAGGAGAAGGTGAGGCCGCCCGGAGCTCGGGCCACCCAGGCTTCCTGCACCGGGCGAGAGCAGCAGAGAGAGAGAGCAGGGCTAGGAGAGGCCAGCCTGTCCCCTGGGCACGCATGGATGCTGTCCTGCCTTGTGACCAGTCTAGCAGGCTGGGGGGACAGCCTGAAGCCCAGTGTCACACATCTCTTGGCTGAAGGTGGACAGGCAGGAGAGCATGTGCAAGAGAGGTGGACCAAGCCACTGTGGTGCTCGCTCCCTCCACAGATCCCAGTCCCCCAGCAGTAGGGGACAGAGCCTCAGAACCTCATCACTCCCCAAAGGTTCCAACACTTGAACTTTGGGGACACATTTGGACCATAGCAGCTTCCCTTGGGGAAGCAACATTTAACAGAAACCCAAAAGATAAACCAGGGGCTGGGGCTGTAGCTCAGTGGTAGAGTGCTCGCCTAGCCTGTGTGAGGCACTAGGTTCGATCCTCAGCACCACATACAAGTAAAAAAAAAAAAGATAGTGTGTCCACCTATAACTAAAAAATAAATATTTAAAAAAAAAGATAAGTTAGGCAAGGGGGGAATGTTTCCAAAAAGAGATGTGAAAGCCCTAAGTGGGGAGGAGCCTGATCCCCCGCCCCTTGACCTGACCCTGAGCCCAGAGCCCACAAAGCTGGGGCCAGCTGGTCAGCATCGCGGGTGCTCAGTCCTCTGTGTCCCTCCCATCCAGGCGGACGCCATCTACAACATGATAGGCTACCCCAACTTCATTATGGACCCCAAGGAACTGGACAAAGTGTTCAACGACGTGAGTGGCTTATGCCCTGCCATCCCAAGTGCCCACTTGGGGAGGGGCCAAGGTGGGCGGGGCACCCAGGGCTTCTGGAGGCAGGGAGGCGGTCCTGGCATCATGACAGCCATCAGGGGATGAGCTCAGCGGGAGAGCGCTGGCCTCGCATCATGACTCCAACCCAAGCACTACAAAAAAAGGGGGGGGGGCTGGGTTGGCTAAGTGTCACAGCGCTTGCCTCACACACATGAGGCCCTGGGTTCGATCCTCAGAACCACATTAAATAAATAAAAAAATAAAGATATCGTGTCCATCTACAACTAAAAAATTAAAAAAAAAAAAAGACTTGGGGAAGCAGATCCTAAAAGGTGCAGCACCACCTGACCCTGAGCCCAGAGCCCACAGGGCTGGGGTCAGCTGGCCAGCATCGCGGCCCTAAAACACCACAGCGGCGGGGGGGTAGAAAGTGAAGCCCCTCACACCCCCGCTCCTGCCACCAGAACGGCCACCTGTCTTCAGGGTCGTACCCCAACCTCCTCAGAGAAAACTTGGAACTGAAATTTTGACCTTGAGATGGGGACGGGAAATGAGGAGGCAGCCATCCCAAATGCACGGTGAAGCCCCACTGAGGTGGAGGGGGATTGCTGCCTCCCTGCTGCCAGAACCTTCGGCACGTCACTCCTTTAAGTGGGTTGTGATTTTGCCCCAAATGATAGCTTCCTATCTTCTCATGAGTGAAATTTGTGAAATTCAGGCATTTTTGAAATTCTAATAACCTCTCATCATGGTTCTATTTAAAACCTAAGACTATTAAAATTACTTCTGAGAATAGGAGACTCATTCCGCAGCCATGTTTCTTGAGAATAATTTCAGACACCCCAGGGTCATCATGATGCGAGACCCAGAGTCTCCTGGAGACGGCTCAGGCAGGGCCCCCAGGACAGGGACCTGCCCCTGAGGGCCCAGTGTTTTACCACAGCCCTTGGGTACAGCCGTGAAGATCTGGAGTGGACCTGAGGGAGGGCTTTGCACCTGTCAGGAGCTGAGAGGCCGGGCCCAGGGGTGAAGGTGTGATAACGCCTGTCCCCTGACATTTCAGAGCTAGATTCCAGCGTGGTTCATTAAATCTGTGCTGCCCAATTTGTTAGCTACCAGCCATGGGGGGCTATTTAATTAATCAAAACTTAAGTTAATTAAAATTTAATTACACTAGCACATTTGAGATGCTCAGTAGCCACCTGTCACCAGAGTCTACCATATTGGCCAGTGTGGGTATAGAACACACCCATCGTCACAGTCCTGCAGGACAGTGATGGAGATACTTCTTGCCCAAGGGAACCACTGCTGGGGCATCCTGCAGCACTGTGACACTGTCAGGCGCCTGAAGGAGACAGTTGTTGCTGGGCCCAGCAGGTTAGAGGCCTCCGGAGGGGCGGAGCCTGCAGCTCCCAGCCCACACTCTGGCCCTGGGCCTGCCGACCCATCCCTTCACCTCGTGGGGTCTGAGTTTCTGAGTTTCCTCTGGGCGTGCTCCCATCCTGTGTCTCTGCTTCTTTCTTTAGTACACGGCAGTTCCAGACCTCTACTTCGAGAACGCCATGCGATTTTTCAACTTCTCATGGAGGGTCACCGCTGACCAGCTCAGGAAAGCCCCCAACAGAGACCAGTGAGTCCCCCAGGCCCAGCCAGGAAGGCCTGGGTTCCCCACCATAGGGATGCACCCCACTGAGCTTGCCTTCCTCACCCACTGTCTGGTGCCAGGTGTGACTGTCACAGAGGCCCTCTTTTCAAATTAAGAAACCAAAAGCCGCTGGGTGCGGTGGCACATGCCTGTGATCCCAGCAGCTCAAGAGGCTGAGGCAAGGGGATTGCAAGTTCAAAGCCAGCCTCAGCAACGGTGAGGCGCTAAGCAACTCAGTGAGACCCTGTTTCTAAATAAAATACAAAAGAGGACTGGGGATGTGGCCCAGTGGTCGAGTGCTCCCGAGTTCAGTCCCCAGAATCCTCTGCAAAAAAAGCCAAAGTAGAGCCCATCCTGGCCCCAGTCTGTGTGCCGCAGTGCCCAGCCTGTTGGCAGAGTGAACCTGGCAGCACATCCCAGCTTCATGGCCTCAGCATTCAGAGCCTTCATTTCATTATCTTCGAAGTAGAAGGGAAGGGAACTGGTTCTTGGGTCATTGAAGCAATCCAGTGTGGGAACTGGGGAGAGCCAGGCCCTGAGAGGAGGCCCTCCGCATGGGTGAGTGTCCCATAACTCCTCACAAACAGGAGCGGTGGTTTCTCCCACTGTCCCACTGAGGGCTGGGGAAGGTTCTAGATGGGCGCTGATAAGCAAGCACATTAACACACTGCAAATCCCACTGTGCATCAGTGTCCCCTGGAGAGCAGTTTCAAAAATAGTCTCCTAGGATGAGGGTGTAGCTCGCGGTAGAGTACATGCCTAGTACTGGAGACCCTGGGTTCCCTCCCCAGCACTGCCAAAAATGTGTGTGTGGGTGTGGGGGTTGCCTCCTGACTTTTTTTGTGTGTGTGTGTGGTGGTGTTTGGTTGTGGGGGCTTTTGCAGCGGGGGGTAGGAAGTTCCTGGGGATTGAACCCAGGAGTGCTTTATCACTGGGCTAAATTCCCAGCCCTTTTTAATTTTTTATCTTGAGACAGGGTTTGACTAAGTTGCTGAGAGCCTCACTAGGTTGCTGAAGCTGGCCTTGAACATGTGATCCTCCTGCCTCTACCTCCCAAATTGCTGGGATTACAGTTGGGCACCACTGCACCTGGCCATAGCCTAACTTCTACCCCAGATCTTAAGTCAGAATAATCTGGAGAAAGACCCTTCTTTCTAAAATGGTCTCCCCAGGAAAGGTGGATGTAGTCAGCCCAGTACTAGTCCCTCCACTCCTGAAACAGGATAAATCTTACCAAGTCAGAACGAGTCCTCTTTGCCTCTGGCGCCCTCTTGTGGGCAATGGAGGTTCAAACATCTTTTTCCTCCAAGTTTTCCATTGTCAACCAGAGTCCCCCTAACAAACAAGAAGGTAGGTGGGCCTTCACCTTCAGAATATGGCACAGACACTACTGCCAACTTACCTGGCTTTTTAAATTTTAGATTAAAAGTTTTCACTTAAACTTGTCTTCCAGACACAGCAGTATTCATCTGCAACCCAAGCTACCCAGGTGGCTGAGGCAGAAGGAGCCAAAGTTCAAGGCCAGCCTAGGCAATATAGCAAAGTAAAAAATAAGGGCAAGGGATGAAGCCCAGTGATAGAGCACCCCTGGGTTCAGTCCCTCAGGAAGGAAAGATTAATGCAGTGTGGAAAATCTGAGCCAGACGTGGTGGTGCACACCTATAATCCCAGTGGCTCAGGAGGCATGGGCAGAAGTTCAAAGCCAGCAAAAGTGAGGTACTAAGCAACTCAGTGAGACCCTGTCTCTAAATACAATACAATATAGAGCTGGGGCTGGGGCTCAGTGGTCATGTGCTCCTGAGTTCAATCCCCATTAACCTCCTTGCCCCGCCCCCAAAAAATACAATATGAAAAATCTGAAAACTTATTCATGAACTTTTCATATGCTCTACACTAAAATCATTGATCTGTCTTGCACTTTGAATGGATTTTTTACATAATCATGGCCTCATGCATTAGTCCTTTGGAAAATAGCGTTTTGCCAGGCATGGTAGCACACGCCTGCAATCGCAGCAGCTGAGGAGGCTGAGGCAGGAGGATCATGAGTTCAAAGCCAGCCTCAGCAACTTAGCAAGGCTCTAAGCAACTCGGCAAGACCCTGTCTCTAAATACTATATAAAAAAGGGCTGGGGATGTGACTCAGTGGTTACACACCCCTGGGTTCAGTCCCCAGTACAAAAAAAAAAAAAAAAAAGAAAAAAAAAAAAAATCGGGGTTCCACTAAGATTTATAGATTTTCCACTCTCATATACTGCAGCCAAAAAAAAAAAAAAATCACATTAGTTAACATCATAGTTGACCTCCTGAGAAAAGTCTTAACGTACTGGGAAGCTATCAAATTCATGATGGTCAATACAAGTTTTCCAAAATTTTAATTTTTCTTTGAAACTTCATTTTTTTTGAAACCTCAGATTTTTATCATTGGTAATAAATGACAAAATGTGAATTATTTCCCCTGAGGTGCTAAGCTTCCTTTCTCATTTCCAAGAACATGTCTGCCTAGTTGCCCAAGTCCAAAATTCCATGGCTGGTCGGTCATCCGAAGAGGATGAGAGAGACCACTGGTCACACGGGATATTAAAGACTGGTACTTGGGAGTCGAGATTTAATGGAATTAATGATTAGGCTACTTTTTCCTGGGTGTTGTCAACAAAAATGACCCCCTGGCTTGTTTTGGTTGGAGCACCTGCTGGGGAAGGAGAGGTGGCCACTAGGACTTGCCTGGCTCCCTGCCCAAGCGGCAGCAGTGTCATCCACGGTTGCTTTTGTACCATGATGCAGATCTCAACACGTGGCAGAGGCAAAGTGTCTTAATGTTATAATGAAAATAGTTTTGACATCATAAACCAGAGGATCTTGGGGACTGTCCACAGACCACACCTTAGAACGGCTGCTAGACACATTTCAAGCCTCAAAAATAACCTCAGTTCAATATCTGATGGTCCCCCTTGCTGTCTGTGAGCGCCTCGGCGTGGCACCCTCTGAGGTGACATCACTGATTTATAGACATTCAGGTGTTTTCTAGTTTCCCCCTCAGAAACAGTGCTGCCTGATGTCCTTGTGCTGACTTGGGCCTGGGGTCAAGCCCTCCGCTCTGCCCACCACCTGGGCTCTCAGGCACCTGTTGCTTGCAGGTGGAGCATGACCCCGCCCATGGTGAACGCTTACTACTCGCCCACCAAGAACGAGATCGTGTTTCCGGCTGGGATCCTGCAGGCGCCCTTCTACACCCGCTCCTCGCCCAAGTAGGCCATCTCTGGTGCTGGTGCCCCGACGGTTCCCCCGCCCCTCAGCCAGCCCTGTGTCTGCAGCTGACCCTGACAGCCATCTCACTGAGCCATCTGTGCCCCGGTGGCCCAGGTGGCCTAGGATTGCAGCGTCGTGGGTGCAGAGCGCAGCAGCCCCCATCCCCTGCCTTCCCTCCAGGGGTCTCTGGGGCCGAAAGCTCCTGCAACCGGGGAACGTGGCACAGTTGTGCAGTCAAGGTGGCTTAGAGCAGTTGCAGCCAGGGAGGTGGCGGGGTGAGGGCGCTGTCCTAGAAGCTAGACTCCCGGGAAGAGGTGCTGGCCCATTCCCAGGCTTCGTTTGCTTGAAAGTTTAACTGCTAGTCTGTGGGAGGGGACAGTGATCCTCTAGAGTGTCCAGCACGGTGCATGTCACCCACAGGGCACAGCTGGCTCCCTTAGACTGCCCAGCCTCCCACTGTCTCCAGGGCTGTGTCCCACAGAGTCCCCAAGGGACTCTGCTACATCTCAGGCCCAACAAGTGAGGGCCACATGGCAGGGCAGGAGCCAGAGGCCTTGCTCTCACTTTGCATCTCCCTCCAGGGCCTTAAACTTTGGTGGCATTGGTGTCGTCGTGGGCCATGAGCTGACTCACGCTTTTGATGATCAAGGTACAGGTTCCTTGGGGTCCCTCCAGACAGAGCCCATCAGCTTCTTAGCCCCGCTGCCTCTGCTCCCTGGGACTTAGCTTTGGAGAGAAGGACCAGAGTCTGAACCCTGGCTCGGCCGCTTGCCAAATGCTGTCAACTCGGCAAGTCACGTCATTCTCCAAGCCTCCGTCTCCTTATCTGCAAAATGGGTGCAACAGGTCCAGGTGGGGGTGGGGAGGATCGTGTGAAGGGTATAGTGAGCACCTTCTGCAGGATGCTGGGTGCTCGGTGCTCAGTGGGAGTCAGGAGTCAGAGACGTGGAAGTCACACCCTCCTCAGCAGCTAGTGTCCAGGGTCTTCCTCAACTGCCCCCTGCTCGGGGACAAGAAGGAAGTGGCAGAGACCCTGGAGACCAGGCCTGTCATGTGCTCCTGATTCTTCCAACTCCGCTGGCCCCTTGCTGGCCTCCATTCCTTGGGATCCGAGGCCCTTGGCCAGTGGAGATCCACCCCGCGCCTCGAGCCTTTGCACAGCCACTCAGCCGCCTGCCTGGCCACTTTCCCCCACCCTCTCCCACTTGGTCTGGGCCGTCCTCTGGCCCTCCGATGGGTATCCTGTCCCTGTGCAGGCTGGAGGGCTGAGGTCAGACAGAGGAATCCACTTCTCACTGGGAGGGAAGAAGAGCCATAGCAGGGACAGGTCCCAAGGTGCCACTCCTGCGCTCCGACCACAGGGCGGGAGTATGACAAGGACGGGAACCTCCGGCCCTGGTGGAAGAACTCCTCGGTGGAGGCCTTCAAGCAGCAGACGGAGTGCATGGTGGAGCAGTACAGCAGCTACAGCGTGAACGGGGAGCCGGTGAACGGCCGCCACACCCTCGGGGAGAACATTGCGGACAACGGGGGCCTCAAAGCGGCCTATCGGGTGGGTCTGCTCCCCCTGTGCACCTGTCCAGGTCCACGTCTGTCCAGATGCCTCATCAGTAGGTCAGCATAGAGACGCCTGGCAAGCTGCAAGAGTGCTGTGCCTCGGTTTCCTCATCTGTCGGGTGGGGGTGGGGAGGACGTGAGCACTGACTGTGGACGCAGAGCCTGAGCCGGGTGCCCAAGGCCTTCTGCTCGGAGACCACCTGCCTGAAAGACCCGGGAGAGAGCTAGGGTGGGGTCCACCTGCAGAGCCGGCCCCTTCTTACCTTTGTGGGGGAACCCACTGCCAGGTAGGGCAGCAGGGCCCAGGAGGACACTGAGCACAGAGCCAGTTCTGGGTTCCGATCCTAGTCTGGAGTAAGTCGCTACCATCTGAGCCCCTGATCTGCACCCTCAGGTGGCCGGAGGTGAAAGCAAGGGACTCAGACACAGGTCCCCGCCCGAGAGGCAGCCTGGTGACTCACCAAGGAAAAAGGGCCAGGGCCAGAGGGTAGTGGAAGGAGTGGGGAGCAAGGGCCTCTGTCGCTGAGAAAGGAGCTTGATTCTGTTCTGGTGACAGTGGGAGCCACTGCAGGGTCAAACAGGAGACATGATCTAAATCCTTCTTTAAGGCAGGTCTGCAAGCCCGCAGCCCGTGGGCAAATCCAGCCCCAGCCTGTCCCCGTAGGTTTGGGGGACCTGTCCACACTGTGTCCACAGGTTGCCTGTGGCTACTTTTGCACTCTGAGCGCAGAGGAGGATAGTTCAACAGGTAGCCCCAAAGCTGGAACGTCTACTCCAGCCCTCACAGAGGAGGTCTGCCAACACCTGCCCTAGACGGCTCGCTCGAGTTGCCACGTGAGGAGGGGACCAGGCTTGTGTCCTCAGTACCTCTGAGTCAGGGAGACCCGTTGGAAGCTGTTGTGAGGTTACCCAGGCAAGAGGCCATGTGTAACAGGGGGAAGGGTGAGGAGGGTCAGATTTGGGGTGTTTGGCTTGGCTGGAAGAGTTGGGGGGAACTCTGAGCCTGCGTAACTAGGAGGGTGGTGGTGCCATCCTATGGTGGCAGGTTTGGTGAGGGTACGTGTGTGTGACTTATTCCTTCTGTGCCATGCTGAGTTGGATGTGACCTTGGGTGTCCAGCTAAGGCAGTTGAATATCCAGATCAGGGAAGAGGCTGGCGCCAAAGTGCACATTGGAGAGCCATCAGCATTGTGTGGTGTTTTAGGCCTTGGGGTTGATTGCACTCCCCTTCAGGGTGGGAGCAGAGAAAGAGGAGGGATCCTCCAGGCTGAGCCAAGGCCCAGACCCCAGAAACCAGCCCCGGCCTGCACACTAGCCCCTCGCCCCTATGTCTTGGCTGCCCTCAACCTCTGGCCTTCTCTCCTCCCAGGCTTACCAGAACTGGGTAAAGAAGAATGGGGAGGAGCAGACCTTGCCCACGCTGGGTCTCACCAATGACCAGCTCTTCTTCCTGGGGTTTGCACAGGTGAGTTCATTAGGGGAATAGGTAAGGTCCCCTCCAATCACCAGCTCCCTAACTCATCAGACCATCTTCAGGTCATTAGCCTGTGAGGAGGTGAGCTTCCTGTCATTAGAGAGATTCAAGGAAGGGCCAAGAAAGAATACTAGTATCCTGTATGTGGTGGAGTAGGCCCCTCCTGCTTCTGGGGTTCTAGAAACTTCTTAACATAGCCAGACACGGTCATGCATGCCTATAATCCCAGCTCCTTGGGAAGCTAAGGCAGGAGGGTCACAAGTTCGAGGTCAGCCTCAGCAACTTAGCAAGACCTTGCCTCAAAATAGAAAATGAAAAGGGTTGGGGATGTAGCTCAGTGAGAGAGCAGCCCTGGGTTCAGTCCCCAGAACCGGGGGAGAAAAACATCAAGACCCACCAGGTTGGCACTTGAGTTGGCCTTCAGTTGTTTCCCAGAGCTGCCTCTCGAGAGTGTCCTGCCCAGGAAATATGAGATCTAGACTAAATCTAAGATTTGTAAAGTGGAGTTTAGGCAGAATCCCAGCCTAGTACATCGGCATCAGACAGAGGCCCGGCTCTGGCTGAAGAGACACAGCTTGGTGACACCTGTGTCAGAGAGGGGCACGGGCACACACCAGCCTCCCCTCTGACCCACCCACGGGCCTTCCTGACTCCTTGGGGTGTGAGGAGGTGAGGGCTCATTCCACCCCTGCAGTGGTGGGGCCAGTCTGGCGGCCTCAGGGCCCCACAGTGACCCCAGCTTCTCCCCCTTGTTCCCTCAAAGGTCTGGTGCTCTGTCCGTACGCCCGAGAGCTCCCACGAAGGCCTCATCACCGACCCCCACAGCCCCTCTCGCTTCAGGGTCATCGGCTCCCTCTCCAATTCCAAAGAGTTCTCAGAACACTTCCACTGCCCCCTTGGGTCCCCCATGAACCCTCATCACAAATGTGAAGTCTGGTAAAGGGCAGAGCACAGAGAGCCAAGACGGAAGAGAGGAAGGGGCTGAGGACGAGCCCCCAGGGGAGGCTGCCGAGTCCGCCCCTCCTTCCAGCCCCTTGGCCGCCCAGGGCCCCTTCCCCGAACTGGAGGGTTTGCAGCCGGCACTGGGCCGGGTGGGGGTCCTCTGCATACCCGAGTTGCTCCCCTGTGCAGACCGGCGTCCCAGCGTGCACCAGCTCCAGTGGGCATTCGGGTATCGGGCTGGTGGCTCACCAGGCCTGGGCCCCACAGCAACAAGGGCCGGGGGACACAGCCCCCTTGCCCACATCCAGCACCACATAGACCACAATTACCACTGTGTCAAATGCTTTAAGATATATTTTTTGGGGAAACTATTTTTTAAACATTGTGGAATACACTGGAAATCTTCAGGGAAAAATGCATTTAAAACACTTTTTTTTTTTTGAGGGAAGGATTGTTATATTTATTATGTTTTCTTTTTTTTTTCCTAAATAACCTGTGGACAAAGGAAGCCCCACTGATTTACCCCCTCACTGCAAGGCTGGGCTGAGTCAGGGACACTCACACACCTGTCCCAGGCCACTAAGCAAATCCTCTGACTGTGGTTACTACTGCATGGTCACCCACAGACAGGAAATGTGGGAGCCAGGCAGAGGCCCAGTTCATGGCCAGCTGCTCTCAGCTTGCTGCCCCTGCCCCCGGAGTTCAACCATGGAAACCCCAGCAAGGAAGATCTCATCCCCACAGTCACAGCAGGGGACTGATGGCTATGGCAGATGAAGCCAGGTCTGAGGGCACCCAAGCACCCTGGATCTGGAGCACAGGAGCCCTCCAGCACCAGATGCACGCAGCTGCCCATAGACCCTCTCTTTTGGTCCTTCCTCTTCGGGTCACCCCTGGGACCTGTTGCTTCTCTGTAGCAACCCCCGACCCCAGCCATTCTGGGCTCTGCCTTGCAGGATCCCTCTCCCCCAAGGGAAGGAGGAAACAGAATGCCGTTCTTGTCTGCAGAAGGGTCCAGATCCTCCCCTGAGCTCCGTCCTCAGCCCCCAGCCTGGTCAGCTTCCAGACCAGTTCTCTAGTGCCTTATCTGAGGCTGCGGCCTGGGCCGTGCTGAGGAGATGACCCCTGCCCCAGCAGCCCCTGGCCTCCTCAGTGGAGCCCCCAAGTGTCCTGATTGGAACCCAAGGCCATACTCCCACTCCTGATGCTCACAGGGCCACCCCTCAGCCCCCAGGAGCTCTGGCCTGCAGGTCTGTGGCTCTGGGTAGTAGAAGTTAGATGCCGCTGCCCTTGCCCTGGGCTCCAGCCATCAAGGCCCCCTGGTTTAGATCAGGACGGCCCCTGCAGGTGGACAGGCTCCCCTCCTTAGACAGGAGGCTAAGGGAAGGGTTCCTCAGCCCAGTCTGGCCCGTGGAGTCAAGAGACCAAGAAGGTCACCCCTTCCTAGAGGCCACAGCTCCTCCCAACAGCGGATGCTCAGGCTCCACCAGGTAGGTGGACCCGACTGCAGCCGCACAGCAGCCCCCGTGAGAGACCAGGCCCTGCCCCATGGCACGCCCCTTACCGAGGAAGCCTTGTCCAAGAGGCGCAGACAGCTCAGCCTTGCCCTGTGAGCTCGGGTCAGCAGGAGGCTTGCGAGTGGGCTCCAGGTGAGGCCCCTGTTCCTCACAAACAAGTTCAAGGCCTGGGAGCTCTTTGGGAGAAAGATAAGAAGGAACCAGGGAAGGAGCTAGAGCCAGCCACCTGGGAGGTGGGCCTTTTCCATATGCACCTCCCGGTGCCTCGCTGCCCCACCCTCCTGCCTTCCCCAGGGAAGGGTGGTCCAGGAAACTGTCAGCACCACCAGCCAGAAGCAATTGTCTGGGGCTGGTGTCTAGCCAGAGGGAACGGAGATGGCACTCCCTGTCAGGATGTGCGGGGGCAGGGGGAGAAGCCCAGGCAGAGGCAGCGTCCCCACTCCCATTGCCCCTCCACAGTGTCAAGGCCAAGGGGAGATGGGCAGCTGCACTCCCAAGACCAGGGGAGCCACAGGGCTTGCTTCTCTGTGGGCACATGGGTGTGGGGTTTGGAGGTGGGAATCTGTTTTTTGTATCATGTTTCGTGCTACTGTAGTTTTGTGTGGCACTATTGTAATTAAAATAAAGTACTTGTATCGAGAGCCACTTGTGTCCGAGTGTCCTTCCAGGGTGCTGTGCATCCTTTGGAACCACAAGAAAGCCCCAGCCAGCCCAGAGCGGCCCACCCTAGCCTCACTAGGAAGAGGCTTTGGACCCTGAGGAACGGCTGGGGCTTCCTCCTGCCAGCCCCCACCTAGCCAGCCGGGCTTCATGGGCAGACTTGTGTGTGCCCCCTACCCGTGAGAATGATGCATCTCATGGCCTGGGCCCAAGGGGCTCCCTGGTCAACGTCATGTTTCCGTTATCTCAGAGCAAAAGAGTTTCTGGATCTCAGATACTTGGGCAGGGCAGGCAGGAAGTTCAAAGAGGACCAAAAAACAGCCTCCCCTGGCTTTTACATATGTTCTTCCTGCTGCCTGGAATGTTCTGACTTCCCCACCTGGTGAACTCCTACCATCCTTCAGTGCCCCACTCACCATCACCTCCTCTAGGAAGCTTCAGGTCTGCATGGGGGGGGGGGGGCTCACACAGACTTTCCTCTCCTTCCAGAGGGTATTAGTTTACTAGGGCTGTTGTAACTAAGTACCACAAACATGGTGGCCTACACGACTGATTGAGGTGTTGGCCTCCCAAGTCTCTGGGTTACGGGTGTGGGTCACCAAGCCCAGCCTGACTCTACCTGTCTTTAAAAGGAGTAGGTCATTTCTCTTGGACTCTGCTTCTCTGGCTATAAGACCTACAATGTACTCTCTTCTTCTGTCTTGGTAACCATCAGATATGGGCGACAGTGAGGATGCCAGAGAGGGTGATATGCTTTGAGCTCAGATTGTCCCCACGAGGTGCGAAGGGGCCTGTAAGGCCCATAGGCACCAGCGTCTCTCCCCGGGGGCAGCTGGGAGAGCCCCCACCCCTCCACCTCTTGTCCTCAGGAGAGCAGCTTGTTTAAAGAGAAGGTCCCTCCCTGTCACTGGCTCCCACCTCTTGTGTTTGACCCTGTTTTGTCCTGTTTGTTTTGTCTGGGGCAGTGCCAGGGATTAACCAGGCCTCAGGCTGCAAGCCACCACTGAGCCACACCCCAGGCCTCCAGCTTCTTTCTGGAGCCCAAACAGGCCAAGCCCTTTCCCGCTGAGGCTCTGGGTCCCTTTTGTCCTTCAGGCTGGAATGTTCTCTGCACAGAGGGCACACCCCTCCCCAGCAGGATGGATGGGTGAATTCTGTTTAGACCCGCCAGGAGTCACGTGCCTATTGGAGTGCAGCCATGTGCAAGAAGAGTTCTCACCCCGCCTCCCCTGGAGCTCACAGTTTGTGGGACAGAGAATTTCTCAGCCCTGATGCTCAGAGGAGGTGTCATTCGGGGACACTGGGTTGCAGGGCAGGAAGTGGCTGAGCTGGGTTCTGAACACAGGCCACTCGCAATGAGCCGCTTTGGAAAACGTGAGAAGCCTCTAGAAACAGAAAGCCCCAGGGATGCCATGTGTGCAGAACACACACGCGCGTACACACACACACACACACACACACACGCATGAAGGCACAGGATGGAGGAGCTGGCTGCTGCCCACCCTTTTCCCAAGAAGAGAGACCTAGCTTTTAGCCACCCTTCCCCCAGCCCTGGGCCTGCAGATGCCCTCCCTCCAGACAGGCCACCTCCCAGGGACTAAGAACAGGCTCCTTCCTCCCTGGGCTGGGGTCCCAGTGCCCCTTGCCCACCCCCATCCTCCTAGATCCTCGCCCAACCTTGTTCCCCTCCCAAGCAGGACTTGAAACCCCAGCCTGGCCCTTCAGACTTCACCCAACACATGTGGAAACACACAGGATGTAACTTGGGAACAGCTGGAAAAAGTAAGCAATCTGTAACAATCGTGTAAGCAGAAGGGCCTGCAGAGGCCTCTGAAAGGGTTAGGACAGACTTTAAACTTGTAAAGAATTTGGTCCACTGAAGAGCCCAACCAGAACTTGGAAAACCTCAGAAGAGAAAACTGAGAAACTTTACCAAAGACCGTCAGAGAATCCCCTTGAGCACCCTGGCAGTGGGTGGAAAAGTCCGATGCAATATTCAATGCCAGCTCTCCCCAAATTAATGTATGATTTCAGCGTACTCTCAGCCAAAATCCCAAGATAATTTTGCATAGAATTTGATGAGCTGATTCACATGAAAGGGAAAAAGCACAATCAGGACAATTCTGAAAAAAATTGAAACAACGAAGGAGCTATATTCCATATGTAAATATTTATAAAGCAATGGTAAATGAGAGCTGCTGTAGGTTAGGAACAGGTATCAAATTGGAATAGACTAGAAGCCAGAGACAACCCTGCGCATATATAGGAATTAGTGTAAGATAGAGGAAGCACTTCGTGAGTGGAGAAATGAACCATTTAATAAATGGTGTTGGGAGACCCATTTGAGAAAAACTGAATTTAGATGGAATTCCCTCCTACTGTGTACATCAGTAAGTTCTCTATGCATTAGATAAAATATAACAATCTGTTTATAACTTTAGATTAGAAAAGCCACCTTTTTTTAGCATTTATTTTTGTTGTAATTGGACACACAATACCTGTATTTCTTTTTTAAAAAATTTAAAATACCTTTATTTTTAATTTTTTTATTTTTATATGGTGCTGAGGATCGAACCCAGGGCCTGGCACGTGCTGGGTGAGCGCTCCACCCCTGAGCCACACCCCAGTCCCCCTTTATTTCTTTCATGTGGTGCTGAGGATGGAACCCAGGGCCTCCCATGAGCTAGGCAAGCGCTGTACCACTGAGCCACAACCTCATACCAGCAAAGCCACCTTTTAAAAACCACAAAAAGAAAAACATAAAGAAGATAAACACATTTGGCAATACCGAAATTTCGTTCTTTTATAAACCAAGGAGGAGCTCAGCGGTAGAGCGCCTGCCTGGCACGCTGAAGGTGCTGGACTCAACCCCCAGAATCACCAAAAAAAGAAAGGAAAAGAGAAATCCAGAAATAAATGAAAATAAGGAAAAATTCCCCCCTCCTCTGACCACCATTCACAAAGGAGGGTGGCTTAAAACGGGAATTCTCCTCAAGAAATGGGCTGGGAGAGGGCCAATCACAGTCCCCAAAACACCGGTACAGACAGGGAGGTGGACCCGGGGTGTGGCTCAGTCCTAGAACGCTTGCCTAGCATTCTGGAGGCCCTGGGTTCAATCCCCATTTCCCTCCAAAAGGAGGTGTTTAGACACCCACAAACATGTTCCTAACAGAGTAAGGGAGAAATGCTCGTTTCTGCAGCTGGTCCTGTGACAGAGCTGGGATGGAACCTAGGGATGCTCTTCCACTAAGGTACAACCCCAGGCCCTTTGCCCTTTGTTATTACGTATTTTGAGACAGGATCTTGGCAAGTTGCCGAGGCTGACCTCGAACCTGAGATTCTCTGAGTCTAGGATCATAGACAGGACCCCGCCACCAAGAGCTGCTTTTCATCACTCCCTTCCTTCACTCTCCAGTTCAGATTTCCTTTTCTGTCAGCAAATGCCTTATCTGCTGTAGCTCTCGGCCACGTGGGGTGACCCAGCCCTTCATTCCTGGAAGGTCTGGGCCATCACGGGCCTGGATGCATTCGGCTGTGGTGGTTTTCCTTTGACTTAATCACAGGACGTGGGCCTAAGAGAAGCTCTGGATGGGTGCAGTGGCACACACCTGTGATCCCAGCAGCTCGGGAGGCTGAGGCAGGAGGATCACAAGGTCAAGGCCAGTCTCAGCAATGTAGCAAGACCCTGTCTCAAAATAAAAAATATATAAAGGGCTGGGGCTGGGTGCAGTGGCACATGCCTGTGATCCCAGCAGCTCCGGAGGCTGAGGCAGGAAGAACGCAAGTTCAAAGCCAGCCTCAGCAATTTAGCACTAAGCAACTCAGTGAGACCCTGTCTCTAATAAAATACAAAACAGGACTGGGGATGTGGCTCAGTGGTCGAGTGCCCCTGAGTTCAATCCCCAGTACCCAAAAGAAAAGAAAAATTAAACTTAATAATAATTTAATTATTTAAATGCTCATTTAAGTGTGTTCCATATACATGTGTTCAATTTTTTTATGATTCTAAACAGACTGATTTTTCAGAAATTCTTTTTAATTTTAAATTATCTTTACATCTAGAATCAAGTGAAACATATTTTAAATACTGGACTTAGTTTTCTTCCATCCTATGGGGCTTCATGAAGCAAGAAGTTAATCTAGTTAAAATAAGTAAATAGTAAAAAGAGTAGTTTGCTGGTCTGGCACAGTGGCACAAGCCTATAATCCCAGCAGCTTGGGAGGCTGAGGCAGGAGGATAGCAGGTTCAAGGCCAGCCTGGGCAAGTTAGTGAGACCTTGTCTCAAAATAAAAAAAATAAAAAGAGCTGGGAATGTGGCTCAGTGGTAAAGCACCGCTGGGATCCATCTGCAGTATACATTAAAAAAATAATAATAATATTTTTGCTATATTCAAATATTTTTGCTATATTCAGCATTCAATCCCTGCTTCTTTTTTAAGCAGGGATTGAACCCACGGTTTCACATATGCCAGGCAATCACTGTTCCACAAAGCAACATCCACATCCCTCTTATTAAATTTTTGATTGCACAAAAAAGATAAGGATTAAAACTTGTCATGCAGGGCTGGGATTGTGGCTCAATGGTAGAGCGCTCGCTTAGCACGGGCAGGACCCGGGTTCGATTCTCAGCACAACATTAAATAAATAAATAAATAAATAAAGGCATTGTGTTGTGTCCATCTTAAAAAAAAAAAAAAAAAAACTTGCCATGCCATTGAAACGGGCCGTTTGGGAATTCAAGTTTTGTCTTCTTTCTCTCCTGATTCCTACAAAGATCCTATATCAGCTTAATTTTTGTTTGAGTGTTAGTATGGGTTACTCCATTTTGATTTTCAGTCTAGTGTGTTAGGGCCTAGAGCATAAATTAGCCAAAAGAGCCACCACTTAAAACTGTTATCCGACCCATTTTTATTTGTATGGAGGATTTAACCCAGAGGCCCTTTACCACTGAGCTTTATCCCCAGTCCTTTTTATTTTTTA